GAAGCTGGAGGCCTTTGGCCCTTTGGACGTAGAAAGTCATCCCATCCTCATCTCCATTCACCATCCAGACCAAACACCCAGCATTCTTCTTCTGTCTAAAACATAGGAACACTTCCTTTAGGGGTTATTTTTTACTTATGCATTTATTTTTATTGAAGTGTAGTCGATTTGCAGTGTTGTGTTAGTTTCTCATGTACAGCAAAGTGAATCAGCTATGTATATGTAGTGTTTTTCATGTTCTTTTCCATTATTGTTTATTACAAGATATTGAATATAGTTCCTGTGCTATACTGTAGGACCTTGTTTTATCTATTTTATATATAGTAGATTGTATCTGCTAATCCCAAACTCCTTATTTGTCCCTCCCCTGATAGTGACCGTTTGTTTCCTAAAGCTCCAGGGTTTCATGCGGTGTCTCCAAACCTTCCTTGGACACTAAGTCCTCTCTCCCCATCACGTTTCCTGAATGGTGGAGTGTCTTGAAGATGTAGGACCTTCTCTAGGCCCTTGAAAAGTAGCTGCTCAGTGGTGTCCAACTCTTTGCAACCCCATGGATTGTAGCCCCCCAGGCTCCTCTGTCCATGAGATTTCCTAAGCAAGAATACTAGACTGGGTTACCATTTCCTTCTCCAGGGATCTTCTAGACCCAGAGGTCGAACCCCGGTCTCCCGCATTGCAGGCAGATTCTTTGCTGTCTGAGCCACCAGAGAGGCCCTTGAGAGGGATATGTATCAGACTTTTGATCTTTTCCCAGTTTGTGTCTATCTGGCCTGAGCCACAGGCTTTGTTTGTTCTATATAGGGTTCATGGTTGCTGTTTTAATATGAATTCGTTTCCAACATTTAAAAATAGGGGAATTTTAATTTAAAAATCTAGATTTCTGGCTCCTCTTTAAAAAAAAAAAAAATCTAACAATACTGGACCCAAATTCCTACATGGCAGCAGTTGATTAGAGCTCAATAGTAAATTTTCCCTTTAGACAGTGTGTGTGCTTTTCAGCTCACCATAGCCCTCACTGCCCTGCTCCATTCAAAATCTGGCCTTGTAAGCATCATGTTTGAGATCCTACTGTGTCCCAAGGCTTTGCTTCTAGCATTTGGCTTTGGGAAGAAGCTGGATTAATGTTCAGTCAATAGTTTCATTTCGGGGGCATGGTGCTGTTACTTAGGAAAAGTAGCCACCCAGTAAAAGTGTTTATAGGAAAGAGTGCACAGCTTAGGTCTGTTTGTGGATTTGGTCATCTTTTTGCCGTAAACACTGTTGGCATAGCAAACCTCCCATCACAAATGTTCCCTCTGAAATAGTAACATGTCCTTCTATCTTATGAGTTGCCACCCAGTGAAGGAATCCCTCCCACTCCCAAGGGATGTTCATCCAGCCTCTGCTTGACCACTTCCAGCAGCCAGGGAGCTTATTACCTCCTCACATGGCAGCCAGTTCCATTCTTGGACAGATACATTATTTTAAAATTCTTCCTTATGTTGAGGCAGCTGCTGTCTCTTTAGGACTGAAAGCCACAAAGTACTGGAGCCGGGAAGAGAAACTGACTTTCAGGCACATGAACTACCACTCATCTGTCCGGTGTCCAGGGCAAACATTGATAATCAATCACAGCACTCACTCTCACTGAGCCAGAAAGTAGAATGCTGCCTTAGATTTCTTTAAAATTAAATTTATTTTTAAAAATTACAAAAGTAATTTGTGTTCATGTGGAACTAGTGAACTAGCACAAAGTTATATGAGAAGAGTATAACTAATTTCTCCTTCTCCCCAAGGTAACCAATGTGAACGGCACAGGGTGTATCATTCTACACATTTCTCTATATACATAGGTGCATAGGCATTCATATATAAGATATATAAGGGGTTTATATACAGCTTTTTTTTTTTCACTTTACAAAAATGACATCACTGAACATATTACTATGTACTTATGGACTAACCGTAACACTCTACATTGTAGTTAAAGATCAAACACTACACTTAGCTAGAAGCACATTGTTTGTGTTGAGCTGTCAGAACCAAGCACATTTTTAATTACTACATAATATCCCCTTGTATGAGGTATTCTCCAATTTATTGATCATTTCCCACTGATGGATATTCCTATTGCTTCATTTCTTTTTTTTTTTTCCTTCTTTTTTCTTCTTTTCTGCTTCATTTCTTCAGGATCCTTCTCACCTCAGTGTTCCAGGCAGCCACTGCTGATCGATTGGAGTTAGCCTGTGAGGTAAAACCCACTTGTCATGTCTGACCAGTCTAGCTCCTTATCTCACACATCCTAGAGAAGCTCAAAGATTAAAGTGACACAGTGGGGCAAGACTAGAACTGAATTTTCTTGAGTTTCAACATTTTTCATGTCTCAGGTTGCCTCTCACTTAGAGCCATCTATCCTGATTCTCCTCTGGAGTAAATAAACAACTCTAATTCTTCTGTGTGCTACCCCTTCAGGTGTTTCAAGTCAGTTATGTCATTCCTCCTGAGTCTTCTCTTCAGGGGAAATTTCCCCAGTGCCTTCAAATTTTTCTCTTAGGGCAAGGTTTCCAAATCACTTTACCATCCTTTTGATCATTTCCTTCTATCATCTTTGCCCCAAGGGCTGTAGAAGTCCCAAGTGTGGCTTCCATGTTCACCTTCATTCATCCATTCATTCAGTAAGTATGTATTGAACACCTTCTAAGTGCTAGTCACTATTCTGGGCCCTGGACAACTGTGTAGCTTGCAGTTGTTGGGAAGAGATAAACAACAAACAAATAAGAAATCTGAGGGTGCCAAGCTATATAGAATAAATTCGGTAGAGTGACAGAAATTTCTTAGATTTGGATGATCAGGGAAGATCTCTCTAGGAAGTGACACAGAGCTGAGACCTGAGTGACAAATAAAAGCAAGCCATAGATAGGTTGGGGAAAGCTGTGGATAAGTCCAAGTGAACAAGAACTTGGTACACCCTGAGGCTGGAGAGGCCACCAGAGTCTTGCAGGGAGCCCTCTAGGCATTTTATTTAAATGCAGTGAAAAGTCATTGGAGGATTTTAAGCCAGGGACGCAATATTTGATTTGTCATTGGGTTGTTTGTTTGTTTGTTTTAATGTATGTATTTTTATTTTTGGCTGTGCTGGATCTACATTGCTGCTCGGGCTTTTCTCTAGTTGCAGGGAACAAGGACTACTCTCTAGTTGCAGTGCTTGGGCATCTCATTGCAGTGGCTTCTCTTGTTGCAGAGCACAGGCTTTAGGGCCCGCGGGCTTCAGTAGTTTTGGCACGTAGGCTCAGTAGTTGCAGCTCATGGACTCTAAAGCACAGACTCAGTAGTTATGGCACCCAGGCTTAGTTGCTCTGTGGTGTATGGGATTTTCCTGGACCAGGGATCAAACCCATGTCACCTACATTGACAGGCAGATTCTTTACCACTGAGCCACTGGGGAAGCTCCTGATAGGTCGTTTAGAAAGATTTCTGGGAGGGTTGTTTAATTGGGAATAAGGTTTCATTTCCCCCCACATTTTCTCTTGCTTCTTGTATTCAAAGGGATCGACAGCCAGGCCAGTTTGCTCTGTTCAGGTAACCCATGAGGATCTGTGAGGTGAGTCACAGCCATTGTCAGGTGCACCTCACAGCTGTTCTCAGCAGGAGCTTGGACATTCAGGGAGATGGCAGTAGCTCCCTAAGATCTAGCCCAGCAGGTTCAATGAGTCTTTGTATGGAGTTCTCAGTCCTCTTGTCAGCCAGAGGGAGATGGAGCCAAATGTGGTTTGGGGATGGAGCCAAGGGCACTGGTTGCAGGAGAGACAGGGGAAATGTGAGTGGAGACCTAAGGCTTCAGAGTAGTGTCCAGAAACCAGTCAACTGAAGAATAAATCTGTTGTCTGCCCAGTCGACACAGCTCCTGTGTGGTTCCTGCCTAAGAAAGAAATTTGGACACTTTCTTGCTTTGGAGTTTTTAACATTTGATGTATCCCCTTCTCAGGTTAGTATCCTCTTGGCTTTTAGGAAAATGGATGACAAGCTGGCATCTCTGAATGCCAAGGGGGCATCCCAATCCAGAGGACTTGAGTCAGGAGTATCCTTAAGGGAATGAGGAAGAAGTCTGGGAGAGATTCACCTCAGATCAAGGGTAGATGGGATCTTAGAGATCAGAGCGGGAGAGCTGGGTTGGAGGGGATGAGATCCCCCCTGCCCCACCAGCATGTTAGAGATCTTTGAAAAGACCTCCTACTGTTAGGCATCCAGTTGCTAATTAGATAGCTATCCATGTACCTGAGATCTCCACTGGGGTCACCACTCACCTGTATCCCAGCTTTGTGGGTCTTAGTTTGAAATAATACACAGACTCTGTAGGATCCTTTCAGCAGGCAAGCAGTGACTCTGCCCAGCCCCCAGAGGAGATGACCAGAGATGAGCAAGGTCAGGACATGTGCTCAGCATCACATGTCTGCTTAGTCATGTCACCTGGGGCCAGGTCTCCATTAATTCACATCTTTTGCCATAGTGTGCATTGTCTCCTGTTTCCATCTAGAAAATCTTACCAACTTACTCTCAGTTTTAAATCCACTTCCTTTGGCCCTTTGACAGCCAGACATGAGGGGCAGCATCTTCTCCTTTGTCTGAGTCTCTTAAGTCCCAATCAAGATTGGAGGGAGAGTTGGCTTAGTACCTGGTATTGGCTTTGTCTTTCTCCCAGGAGCTCAGCAGAGTTGAGCTAAAGGGGAAGATGTGAGGCCTCCTTAACCCCTGAACCCACACTCACCAGACCAGTTCCAACCCCTTCTCTCTGACCCCCTTGCTTCCTTTTCCAGGAGCCTGGAGAGGCGTGGCTGGACCAAGACCTCCCCCGATGTGAGCAGGTGTCCTCTTCCCTGCATTACCCATTGCCACTACGCCAGGGAACGTCCTCAAGCCCTGGCCCTCAGGGTAGAGGTAACAGGAGCCCGGAGCCGAGACCATGTGACGGCGCTGGCCCTCGCCACCGCCGTCCCCCCCACCCTGGCCCCAGGCCCGGCACCATGATGTTCCGAGACCAGGTGGGCATCCTCGCTGGCTGGTTCAAGGGCTGGAATGAGTGTGAACAGACAGTGGCCCTGCTGTCACTTCTGAAGCGAGTCACCCGCACCCAGGCTCGCTTCCTGCAGCTCTGCCTGGAGCACTCACTGGCGGACTGCAATGACATTCACCTGCTGGAGTCAGAGGCCAACAGTGCTGGTGAGTCTCCATCCCCAGAGATGGGAGCAAAGCGAGAGGGAGAGATGGGATGGGAACGGATGTCAGGTGGCTGAGGAGGCCTCCCCAGCAATGGTGCTAAGAAATGTGGGTTCTAGGCTTGTTAGTAGGTGAGGAGTCCCTGACCTCTGTCTGAAGTCATCATCATGTCTCTTCTGGGGCTTTACTGCCAGAAATCTTCAGACGTGGAATGGGACACTCCTGGGGGAGTGCAATGCAGACTGGAAACTACCCACAGCAGAGGAAGTATCACATAGGGCGACTGACAAGAATAGACTGAACCCATTACCTATGAAAGGGGGATGAAATGTGAGCATTCATTCATTTCTCAAGCTCTAGGACATCAGAGCTAGGAGGGAATTTTAGAACTCTTCCAAAAATTACAAGTCATATTATTCTTTACCCCCTCAAAGGTAGGTTGCACCTTAAGACATACAGTTTCAAGAGAGTTTTGAATTTACATGTAGTCCATATCAGTATCCTGAACACTCAGTAAAGAAGTACTCTTTGTCATGAGGGTGACACTGGTGTGGGTGAGCAAGGCTTCTCTAGAACCTGTCCCTCAGACCCCAAGTGTAGATAGAAGTCAGTCCAGAGAACTATCTCACAGGGCACTGCTGAAGCCATTCAGGCCTTCTGGGGCTCCCCAAGGCTGGATGGAGAGGTGTTGACCTTGGTGACAGGTGGGAGAGATGGAAACCAAAGTGAAATGAAAGTTGCTTAGTCATGTCTGACTCTTTGCGACCCCATGGACTATACAGTCCATGGAATTCTCCAGGCCAGAACACTGGAGTGGGTTGCCTTTCCCTTCTCCAGGCGATCTTCCCAACCCAGGGATTGAACCCAGGTCTCCCTCATTGCAGGCGGATTCTTTACCAGCTGAGCCACAAGGGAAGCCCATGGAAACCAAAGAGAGGGAGTATAGCTAGCTTTCAGCTAGCACCTGAAAGCTAGCTGGATGGGGGTGGTACCCAGGGACCCATGTAGAGTGTGCCCTAACCTTTCCACCTTCTTCCTCATGACAGCAGTTCAACCTGAGTCCCTGCAACAAGCCAAGTAGTGACTTTACTTGTGTAGTAACTTTGAAAAGTGTTCTTCCTGACTCTAGAATCAGACTGTCTAGGTTTAAATCCCAGTTCTGTCACTTGCTTTATAATCAAGTAACTTTACCTTTCTGAGCCCTGGTTTCCTCACCTTTAAAATCAAGATGATAACTGTGCTTACCTTATAGGTTAGTTATGAACCCTGAGAACAGTGTCTGGCATGCAGTAAACACTCAGTAATGTTAATTGTTGTTTTTATTGTCAGTAACTCGTTTAGCCCATATAACAACCCCTTGAGATAGGTAATGTTGCTCTCCCCTTTTTATAGGTGAGAAAAATCAGCATGGGATGCGATGCTAGGATTGGAATTTGGGGACCCCCCAGAGCTGCTTCCTCCTCTTTTCAGGCCTACCCACCTTAACAGTCACCTTTACTTTGAGTTTTTATTGTACAAATCACAGAAGTGCCATGGTTATAGGGAAAGTCAGTTCCTCAGGCCAGGAGTCACCGGCTTATGTTCCTGTCTCAGACAGTGAGCAGCAGGAACCCAGTCTGGCTGCAGCAGGCTCAGACCTCAGCTGTTTCACAGTTCTCCCATCCTCCCCACCAGGGAGGGTTCTTCTCTGCTCTAGCTCCAGGGCAAGGGATCTGTGGTTGTGCTATGGCTGTACCCCCAGCATAGGGGCTTCTTTGGGGTCTGACCAATGTCTTAAGCAGCTTGGTCATGCATCCCCACCATCCCGTTCTGAGCAGAGAGTTGGATGAGCACTGGGTGCCAATCTTGGCCATCTGTCAGAATCACTGGTTGCTTACTGCTGTTTATTTACTAGAGCATTTTTAGTTTTTGCTTTTGTTTTCAAAATTTGCAGTAAAATCAAACCATATGAAAGATGAAAAGTGAGGTCTCCCAGACTTCCACATTCCCTATTTGTATATGTTTTATGAGAGATTCTGTGCACATTGAAGCACATCCTGCACTTGAGTACATTCAAGTTCTCCTTCCAGCTTTTTCATTATTTTGATGGTTTTAGCACATAGAACAGAGCATCACACAATTTATTTGGGTTTTTCTTTCTACTTAAAATTGGAACTTGAAGATCATTCCTTATTCAGCACATACACATATACCTCATTGTTGTTAATGGCTGCTTGATAATAAGAATAGTAAAGTAACAGAGAGCCTGACCTGTGTATCAGGCAGTGCTTTACTTATATTATTCATAATCCTCACAGCAGCTCTGTAAGGAAGATCTTTTAACTCCCCCATTTACAAATGAAACAGCTCTGTCACTTGCCCTGGATGGTACAACTGGTCAGAGGTAGAGCTGGAATTTGACTCTAAAGGTCTTACTCTTAAAAGGAGTGCTGTATTGAGTACCCTTTAAGCATCTCTAGGATAAATTCCTAGAATTCTGTGGGACTGCTAGTTTGAAGTTATGTACATTTGAAATATTTGTTGTTACCACATTGCCCTTGGAAGACATGACATACCTTATACCAAGAACCTGAGACCAATCTCAGACAGTTGGCTTTAAGATGTTGTGGTTAATGCCTGTTCTTGATAATTACCTTGCAATGACTTGACTGGTGAATGAATATATGAGTCAAGGTCTTTATCCTCAGCCCCATGTCAGGTGGTAAGAATAAAACAAGTTGGTACTTAGGTGGATGGAGAGTTAGGGAAAACTAGAGTGAGGGAAGAGAGGGCAGGCCATGGTGTGTTCCAGAGTCAGCAGGAAGCCTGCCAGGATTACAGCAAAAACATGACTGGAGAGAGAGGTGATCACAGAGATCAGTCCTTTGGACCTTGAATGCCTCTTCCTAAGAGGCATGGGGGCTCCAAGCCTGTGTTTGCTGTCTCACTCCCAACCTCATTGGTGAAGGAAGGAGCTGGCCCTGGACTTGGAGACCTGCTTTGTAGGAGGAGCTCTGCATCCTCTTGTCCATTATGGCTTTCCCATCCTGTTGTGTTTCCCAAATTTGCATCATCATCAGAATCACCTGATGGGGGAGAATGTGACCTAAAATCAGATTCCTGGGCCCCTGTCCCAGACCCACTGAATCAGAATCCTTAGAGGATAGGGCTGTTAATGGGCACCCTGGTTCTTCTGCTGATCAGGCGGTTTGAGAGATGATTCTGTACTGATGATTCATTTGTCATGGGACATGAGAACAGGAATCAGGACACCCAAGAGTTCTAGATCAAGCTCTGCCACTAACACCTCTTGTGACCTGGGCCAGCCCCATCCCTCTTGGGCCTGAGGATTGTCATCTGGACAAGGAAGGGATTGTTCTAGATACTCTCCAAGTGCAGCAGTAGTTCCTAGTATTTTATGGAATGGGCACCTCAGAGAGCCTGTCCCTCCTTCCCACCAAGATGCACACTTACCCTGCAAACCAAATCTTGAGTTCAGTTGGTCTACCTTTTCTTGGATAAGGATTACGTATTACAGGGTCTGGTGCTCTTTTTCAGCTTTTCCAATCCCTTTGGGCCAGGAGAACAGAACAATGAGGCAGATCCTCTGCCTTTTTCTGGGGGTTTGTACTTCATGTCTCACCCACCCAAGCCTGCTGCTAGTTTAGTTCTCCCAGGAAAATCCTGGGTTCAAGTTTGGGTCTGGGTCAGAGCTGCTTACCCTCCCATATCCTCTTCAGAAAGGGCCAGAGAGTACAGAGAGCTGAATTTTGGTAAGTGGGTCCCCATGGTGCCTTCATGTCAGAATCACTTTATAAAAAGAACCTGAGGGCTAGGTCCTATCTCCAGAGATTTTGGTGTTTTTTAAGCTTGCTGTTTGGCACTTGTGTGCATTCAGTGGAGAACTGCTGGTCTTGCTGACACTGACTCTGGGTGGGCCCATTAAGGTGGTGAGGGTACTGTCACATGACCTACTGGAAGTGGAGAGTTGGGAGGCATGGAAGAGGCACTGGTCTGGGCTGTCCCTTCCTCTCAAGCATCTAAAAGGGTAGAAGGAAGTCCCCCAGCCCATGCAGCCAATGTTGGTTTCATGGGAGCAGAGTCTGAGATAAAACCTGGAAACAGAAAAGCAACACCCCAAGAGTCTCTGGAACCAGGGAAGGAGAAGCCCCAGTTTTCCCCTTGTCATTATCCCTGTTCCTTGTCTCAGTGCTGTCTGCCCTGCCTACTTGCAGCTACAACAGTAATCCTATCACCCGCCCCCCCTTCCCATGATGACTTGGAGCCCAAGGGTGGGGCCAGGGAAGCTGAAGTCTCCTTCTCTCCCTGGTCCTCTGGCTTCGTGGGCCACATTTCCTGCATTTCTTCTCTCCTCCTGTTCTATGAGTCAGAATCCCTGTATCCAGCAGGTTTAAGCCCTTCCCTCCTTGGCTCATTGAATCTGGGTGGGGAAACTGAGGTCAAGAGGGGGCTGTGGCTGAGTGAGTCACCCAAGCTCAACTCTGATGCCTCCACCCTCCCCTTTCAAGCTCTACTAACACAGTTCATCAAACAAAAATGTGAGCCCCTTTGCCCTCCCCTACATTTGTGTGAGATGGGGTGAAGCATAGAAGGACATGTTGGAGCCAAAACCCAGCCCCTCTGACTAGTGCCACAGGCTGCCACAATTGTTGCAACAGCCCAGCATGTAAAAATGAGTTTCTTCTTATGGCAGTCTCCAGGATATATTTGGCTCCTGTGATTTGCAGCACCCAGGGTCATGACCTACTTAGCTCTGGTCACCTGGCCAAGGAGAACACTCTTACACAGTGTCCCTCATCCTCTCTGGAGTCCAAGTTTTCAGCTTGGTGAGCTGCAGTCATTGACGTCATGGCATTCCCCAGTCCCCTCCCCCATCCGCCCACCTCCAGAATTTCATCACTGCTTATTGTGCCTCTAGCTCAGAGGAACCAGAAACGTGTCTGTTTTTGGTAAATAACTGCATGAAATTCCCCACCCTTGTCGGGAATCTTAAGGGGGAGACCCAGATGTGCTCTCCTATGTGAATTGCTCCCTCCAGCCCCAAAATAGCTTAAGCTCTAGATCTTCAACCAGCAGCCAACAACAATAATAGTTGAAGTGCATGGAGCAGTTAACACAGATCAGATGCTTTGCACGATTATCTCATTGAATCTTTAAAACAACCCTGTGTTGTAAGGGCTTTTAACTACCCTCATTATACAGAAGAGGAAACCAAGGCTCAAAGAGGTTAAAGGACTGGCCCACAGTTATATTGACCTGTGTCTTAGAGGGAAAGCTAGATTTTGAATCCAGGCAGTTTTGCCTCTTGAACTTGTACTCCTTACAAGGACATGAGACAGAGTGACCTGAGGACAGAGTGATCCTAGACAGGGTATATTAAACACACACAGACACTACTGCCTTCCAGGGGACCATCTGGGTTCAGCTGTGCAGGTATTCATTGGGGCTCTGCTGTGCCTCAGCTCTGGGCCAGACTCTTCTGATCTGGGCAGGAACCTAGAAGTTTCATCCCCACCCATCATCTGCAGCCCCCGCTGGGCTCACCCCAAGGGCCCTGAGGCTGCGCAGATTCCTTGGACCAGCTCCAGTGTTCACTGATGCTTTCCAGTCTTGAGAGGCCCACCCTTTTCAGCACATTGCTGCACAGATACATGAACACATATTTCCCTGGGGTCAGCCTCCATTCATCTAAAACCACTTCCCCCTTTCACTGCACTAGAACAAGGTCCTTCATTGAGCCCAGCCCTTGGGGCTCTTCTGTCATGTCCCCTGGCAGTACCAGAGGAGAAACTGTGTCCCTTAGCCCTGGAGTCCTGGCAATACTCTGGAGTGGGGGAGGGACTAGACAAGGCTTTTCTCTGTCCCAGATGCCTCCAGCTACCCTGTAAGGCCTAAACAACAGCAACTGAGAGCATCAGAGTAGAACTAAAAGGGTAGGCCAACTGTGCTGGGGGAGAAGGGAGAAAATCACCTATCACTGAGTCACATACTAAGTGTTTACCATGGGCACACTCTGTCAGGTGCTTTATATGGATTGTCTTCCCTAAATCCTCTTAGCAGTCCTGTGATCCTTCTTTTACAGAGGAGGAAGCATGTTGTCCCAGCACCTGTGCCACACAGCTGGGGTGCAAGTCCATGACTTTCTGTCCCTCATCTTCAATCACTGTATTTCTTCTTCCTTCTCATCAGGAACTAAAAACTCAGGGACTTAGTCAAGGAGATAGAGTGCCAGGGAGTTCCTTTCCCTGTGATCCAGTGCCATATGGAGGTGGGAGAACTCAAACAGTGAAGGCTCCCTGAAGTCAGGAAGACTCCTCCCACCTTGAAAAGATCTTTTGATATGGAGATGACCTAAGAGAACATCGTGGTCTTGGGGAGCTAGTTCAGGAGATTAAGGATGGAGGGGATGAGGTTTCCTGGCCTTGTGTGCCAGGTCCTAAAAGGGATCTGGAAGGCCAGGAACAAGGGGAAGAAGATAATGGCATTGGAGAGATATAGTGGAGGGTTGTGGGATTATGCATTAGTACTGTTATTGTGTAGTTAGTTCTGTTTTGACCAGTACTGTGGATAAGCATGAACTGATGACTCTGAATAAATGGATGACCCCTTGAGCACTTTAACAGCTTGGAGTAGAGAGGCCAGGCAAGAAAATGTGCACTGATGTGGCCAGGAGTTTGGACTTGTATGTGCTTTGTTTTCTTAGAGCTACAAATGTAAGAATTAAAAGTTCATATGAATTCCCAAGCCACAGATTTCCAGACACATCATTAAGAGAAAGAAATGTGTAAAAAAGATATTTCTCAGGTTTTTATGCCATGTTCCCAGTGGCCAGGTGTCCAGCCTGTAGTGTGGGCAAAGGTGACCAGAAGTGCCTAGAGTATTAAGCCTTAAGGATATTGAGTTGAGACACCATTGGAGGCAGAGGGATCCAGATCAGGGCTCACTTGAAATCCAGATGCCTGAAATTCTGAGGTTCTCCTGTACATGCCCATTCCTAGCCTCTCTGTTTCCTGGTCTGGGAGTTAGCTTATGCTTTGAGAATCTCTGTGGATATTAAAAAGGAAGAAGCCAGTGTAAGGTATAACCACCATGGTGTTAGGAATGACAGCTGATGTTTACTGAGGACTTTCTTCATGTCCTGCTTTGTGCTGTGGTCTCAATTCATAGCAACCATGCCAGGTAGGAATGATTCTTAGTCTCTCTTTAAGATAGAGAAAGTAGAGCTCTCTGCAGTGATCACATTTATATCAGTAAGTAGGAGAGGAGGGACATGGGCCACATCACTGCCTGTTCTTTTTCATCACCCACCCCTCTGGGGTCCTAGCTCCATTCAGCTCCTTTTTGCCTTTCTGAGACCTTACCATTAACCCAGTAACTCACCTCTCAGAACTCCCTTGTTTATTGTTGGAACATCATCACTGTGGATGCAGGTATGAGCTCAGTTGCCCAAGAGTGAGAACAGAGTTGGTCCTGATCATTGTCTTTTTTTCCTCAAGTGTTGGTATTCTTTGTCCTTTTCCCTTTCCCCGTCAGCATTACCCACCATCCTCCACTCCATTGAGCTAGTTTTAGAAGTGGTAACAAGATTTTCAAGGGGGGACAGTCAGTCCTATAACAGTTCCTTCCCAAGGCCTTTGTGGGGCTAGCTTGGGGCCTTATTCTCGGGGAGCTCACTGCTGGGTAGAACAAGGAAGCCTCACTCATCTTCACAGGACATAAAGGCCCTCAGATTATGGGTTGGGATAGAAAGGAGACATCACCAGAACCCCAAGGCATGGAGTAACCAGGAAGACATCCTGAAGAAGGACAGGTTTAGGCAATCCATAAAAGACTTATAATTTGGATAGGAGGAGGAAGACTGTTGTAGACTAAAACCTTGATTCTCAGCCTGAGTGTGGAAGTTTGGATGAATATGGCATTTAGAGAGCCCCAGGGAAGATGAGGTATCCTAAACCAAGTCTTTGTCTGGAAGAGTGCCCTAGAAATGAAGGTGATGTTGGGCTAGGAGCTCTTGAACTTGAGTCTATTGATGCTGGTTGCCATTATAAGCTTCAGGTCAGGAACATGATATCCTGGTGTGCTTTAGGAAGATAAATCCATCTGGTGTATGGAATGAACTGGAAGGGTAGAATCTAGAGGCTGACTGCAGTTTAAAAAGCAGCCATCAGCATTTATTAGATATGTTTTACATTCCAGGCCACATTCCATTTTTTATTAACTCATTGAATCGCAGAGCAACACTGTGAATTGGGTACTGAATTTTTCAGGTGAGGAAATCAGTGCTCTGTGAGGTTCAAGTGACTTTTCTAAGGTCAAGCTAGTAAGTTGGGAGAGTTCAGACCATCTGATTCCCAAGCCCAAGCTTTTTTTTTTTTTTTGGCTACACTACACAGCATGTGAGATTTTAGTTCCGTGACCAGGGATTGAACTCTGCACTGGACCACCAGGGAAGTCCTGAGCCCAGGCGTTTAACCAATATATTCTGTTGTCCTCCAGGACAGGATGAAGGCTGTTTTGATAGGGGAAAGAAGGTAGAGGCCATGAAGGTAAGGAGTTAGGGATACAGCAAAAAGAGCAGGCCTGGAGCCAGCAGGAGGTACTCAGGTTCCAAAGTAGCATGTTTGGCTGATTAGGAGCCATAGCAGGTTTCTGAGAGTAGGAGTGATGAAACCAGTAAAAAGAAAATTACCATGGAAGCAGGCAGAGTATGTTAGATATCACCTATATGGGGGACAAGGTTGGAATCATGAAAGGAGAAGGGAAGTGAGATTGGAGCTGAGGGAATGGATTATAGACAACGTTCCTGGTTTTACGAAGGGTCCCCCACCCTGGCTCCCCTGACATTCCCTCTTGTCCCCTCTGCAGCCATCGTCAGCCAGTGGCAGCAGGAGTCCAAAGAGAAGGTGGTGTCCCTCCTGCTGTCCCACCTACCCCTGCTTCAGCCGGGCAACACGGAGGCCAAGTCGGAATACATGAGGCTGCTGCAGAAAGTGCTGGCCTACTCGATCGAGAGCAATGCCTTCATCGAAGAGAGCCGCCAGCTGCTTTCCTATGCCCTCATCCACCCGGCCACCACACTGGAGGACCGCAATGCACTGGCCCTCTGGCTCAGCCACTTGGAAGAGCGGCTAGCTAGCGGCTTCCGCACCCGACCTGAGCCCACCTACCACTCTCGCCAGGGCTCAGATGAGTGGGGTGGCCCTGCAGAGCTGGGCCCTGGGGATGCAGGGCCAGCCTGGCAGGACAAGCCACCCCGGGAAAATGGACATGTGCCCTTCCACCCACCCAGCTCAGTGCCGCCAGCCATCAACAGTATTGGGAGCAACGCAAATGCAGGTGAGGAGGTGGGAGTTCCCAGGAGGCCATGCCTACTTAAAAATGGTCAGACTAGGCTCTCTCTTCACTCACTCTGTCCCTGGGCAAGTCACATAACCAATCTCTCTCGGCCTCAGCTTTATGAGGCAGTGTAGAGGTTGTGAACTGGCATTCCCAGAGCCATTTCTGACATGCCAACATGCTTTATTGAGCCCAAACTCAACAAAACTTTGGTTTTGTTACATTTTTAAATAAATTGGCAGTGTAAGGAATTTTCCCCTAAAAAATCCAGATTTCAGCTTTTCTTAAAAATCAAACAATCTGGCAAATCAAGGCCTGTGTTCTAGTGGCAGTCATAAGATGGAGTTAAATATTGGTCACCACCTTTAGACCCTACACATGTCCCAGTAGGGCTCTGCTGCAACCATCCAACTTTGGGCATGTGTGATAACTGCCTGACCTCTGAAAGCATTGAATTAATGACCATAATTTGAAGTTCTTTCTAGCTCAGGCATTCTGGATTTTTGTATCTGGTTCCAACTTACCAGACTCATTTCTGAGAAGTGTTATGTTTGTAGGCCTGTCCATATAAGATGTAACTCATACTGCAAGCCATTAGTAATAGTAGGTAACATTGTTTAGCATTGACTGTGCTAGATACTCTATTTTTAAAAGCATTTTGCAGGCATGATCTCCTTTAATCATCATCACAACAATATCATTAGCCCCATTCTGCAGATGAAGGCACTGAGACTCAAAGAGATAAAGTCTTGTATTCAAGGTTGCAAAGCAAGTAGTGAAACTGGCCAAGGTTTAGACCCAGGCAGCCTGATACCAGTGCTTGCTTCTGACCACTATGCTATCCTCCAACTAAGTGGTCTCAAAATGACTCTCCTAGTTAGCACCTCCAGAGGCTGGGGTGAGCAGGAGGGGCTGGTATTCCAGTGAGGTTTTTGTTTTTTGTTTTTTTAATTTTTGTTAGAGTATAGTTGCTTTCTAGTTAGTTTTTAAAATGTTAGTTGAAATGAACCGGGTAAAAGAGATCGACATTTCCAAGGATTGATGAGGTGACGGTCACATGACCTGACTCAAGGCAAGAAGTTGCCAAGATTTAACTTCAAGATGCCGGCTGCCTTTTGCAAGCCCTGGTTAAAGCAGGCCAGGTGAGGATGACAATAAAAATGTTACCTGTGCCAGTGGTAGGGTGAACCTTGGGTCTTTGGTACTGAGCTGTATGGCACCTGGTACATACCAGTTACCCCTGAGCCTCTTTCTTCCCCAGTTGAATATGGATATCCTGGTCACCTGCTTCTCTCCCAAGTGTTGGCAAGAATCAGGGAAGATAGAGGGATAGAGGGGCATTTCCGGGAGCTCTAGCAACCCAAGGTGTCTTGGACCTTTTTTTCCAGTCTCAGAGCGTGACAGTTTCTGTGTCCAAATTGGGAGGGTATATTAATAATGACAATTCTAGCTAAAATATATTCAACATTTAGTCTGCCAGGAGCTGTTCTGAGAACTCTATACTTAAAAATTCATTGGCTGAGTCACAGAAAAGTCACTTGCCCAAGGTGGTGTAGCCAGAATTTAAATCCAAGCAGTCTGGCTCCATAGCTCATGTTCTTTATTACTGTGTTACACTGTCCCCACCTAAAAGTGGCCCTCCCGAAGATGCTCATCACGGGGAGGGGTCACCCATGCAGGGTGCCCGTACTTGCAGTAACTTTAAAAGATCAAGCTGGAACAGTGTTGGATCGGGGATTTGAACCAGAAGAGAAACTGGACATTCCAGGTAGAGGGCATAGCATAGATTGAAGGTACAGGGATGTCAAATTGGAGGGGACAGTATGTAGACAGGTCTGGCAAGGATGGAGAGGTGCAGGGATTTAAATGAGTAATAGCCGTAGCAAATACTCATGTTTACCATGGGCCTGCCCCTGTACCAAAGATTTCACATGAAAGTGGGAACAGAGGAGGAAATGAAGTGACTTGCCCAGGATCGTGAAGTTAATAGGTGGCAGAGCCAGAATTTGAACTCAGGTCTGTCTTGACTCTCAGATCTCAGTATGTTAGGATCACATCTGGGGGCAAGGACAGGGGGACTTGAAGGACAAGATGAAGCTTTTCAATTTCAGGCAATTGCAGGAAACAGGAAGTCATTAAAATATTTTTGAGTGGGGAGCAAGGATTGGCCTGTAAGGGCAGGCAGGGTGGGTTTGGGGTTCTGCCAAGGACAGACCAGGGTTTCTTGGAGAGTGCGAGGCCCTGGATATCTGGCCAGCATTCCTGTTTTTATAGTTCTCATGCTGTGGCCAGCCTCCACCCTAGTGCGGGGCCAAGCAGGGCTTCTCAGGAACTGCACAATCGTTCCAATCAGGATAATTTCCTGTCCTCTCAGCCTCGCCTGCCCCCTTCTTGGCTGAGAGGGGAGAAAGGAGGAAGCCAGGGGCACCAGGACAAGTAAAAAAAAAAAAAGGCCTGTGTTAAGGGTCCTCCAGCCCCCTGCGCCCAGAGGGTGACATCTTTTACGAGTCTAGAGGCTTTGGAGGAGCCCCATGCAGAGGACCCCAGAGGTCACAGATAGTGGGTGGAGGGTAGCCTTCATGGGTGGGGTCAGTGCACTGCCCTCTCCCTCAGGTGACTTCCTGGCTAGGAGCGTAGATAACTGTCACAGATGAGGGAAGGTGCTTTGGGACCCTGTACCAGGCTGGGTGTCCTGAATCTGGGTGTCAGTGAGGCACTCACAGGAAACCCAGCCATTCCATCAGAAATGAGGCTAGGGTTCTTCTGTCTCTGCCTCCTAACTCTTTGTAGGAACTGGGGTGAAGGACTTCTGTTTCCTAGGCCTTGATGTTCTCACCTACCCTGTGTGATGCTTTTTGGCTTTGTTTTCTTTTCATTTTTGACTTGGGGTACTTCTAGATTTCCTGTGTCAAGCTCAGAGGCCCCCTTAGCACTCTAAGGTTGATGGGTGCCCTCCTTTTGGAGTCAGTGAATTTTCAGGCATTCCTGTGTCTTGGCCTGTCTTGGGGATGCAGAAATGGTTGGGCAGGCTTACTGCCATCCTACACAAGCCCAGATTCCAGTGGGAGGCAGCCTAGGGAAGGGACAGGAGGGCTGGACTTGAGCTAGCAGCACAGGGGCCCAGGGCACACAGAGGAGACAGTCGCAGAAGAGGAGACACTTGAGCGAGGAGTGAAGGCCAAATTGGCTGGCAGTTAATGGTGGGTGACTGGTGAGCTGGGGGAAGGGAGTAGCATGCGTAAAGGTCTGGAAGCTTGTGGGAACCTGCCTTGTCCTTAGAATGGTTAAAAATCAAATTGAATCCCTTTTCCTATCCCAGGAATGGGATGGATGGAGGATATGAAACATCCTGTGAATGAGGGCCTGGATTCACCCTGGTTTGGGCTCAGAACAAGGAAACATCTTTTGGGAGGTGTTGAAGCCCAATAATAGATGTTGAGGAAGCAGTTTATGTACCTCATTCACTTACTTTACACATAATTGTGCAGAACCTCCTCTAGTAGAAACCTCCCTGTAATTACTGAGTTTAATTAATAATGTTTAAGACAGGGGCCCTGTTGTCACAGGTCTGGAAGCAGGGGGGTACAGTTATAAACAAGTGAACAGATAATTAGATAAGGTCATTTCAAGTTGTGATCGGTGCTATAAGAAAGACAGGACATAGTAATATGATAGGGGATTGGTGAGGAGGAGCTACTTCTGACTTAGGGTTCAGGGAAAGCCTCAGAAGGAGTGATGCTTTTTTGAGAAGAGACCTGGAGGAGCCAGCTGCCAAGATCAGAACAAGGAGGAGGAGCACGCTCAGAAGTCCTGAGACTAGAACAAGCTCCACTGTTCCAGGAACAAATTGGGGGCAAGGGTGTGGCAAAGGCTGGAAAAGCTTGAACCAGAAGGGGATGAGTTATGAGAGATGAGAACTTAGAGATGAGCAGGGCCAAGGTCCTGCAGGGCCTTATAGGTGTTGGGAGGAGGGTTTGAATTTTATTCTTCTTGTAGAGGGAAGCTACAGGTAGGATTTAATCAGGGACTGAGTGGGTCAGATTTGCATTTAAAGGAAGATCAGTGTGGCTGTTGTGAGTTAAATAGACCATAGGGGGTGAAGATGAAGGCAAGAAATTTTGTGAGGAGGCTGTGATGGCAATTCCAGCTAGGGACTCCAGTGACTTAGCCCAGGGTGCTAGCAGAGAAAGTGGAGCAGTTCAGAGAAGTGGCTGACAGCTTGCTGATGGTTGGGTAGGTAGGGGAATGAGGGAACTAACAGTAGCTGGTAGGTAGTTCCCCTCATACCCTAGGGTCCTTTCCCCTTGTTGGGTTCCGGGGCTGAGCTGCCATCCATGGCACTGACCAGGGGAACATGGTCTCCTGTGGTCAGATTCCCAGTCCTGACCTCTTGTCTCTCTCCCACTCTGGCCAGGTCTCCCCTGCCAAATCCACCCCAGCTCGCTGAAGCGCTCCATGTCGCTCATCCCCACAAGCCCCCAGGCCCCTGGTGAGTGGCCGAGTCCAGAGGAGCTTGGGGCCCGGGCTGCTTTCACCACGCCCGACCACGCACCCCTCTCACCCCAGAGCAGCGTGGCCTCCTCTGGCAGTGAACAGACGGAGGAGCAGGGCTCCAGCCGGAACACTTTCCAGGAGGACGGCAGTGGCATGAAAGGTACAGTTGGGGAGACTAGCACTAGGACCTCCTCAAGAGGCTTGTGCAGAGCTTACAAGGACAGAAGAGAGCTTGGAGCTGCCACCCTTCCCCACCCAATTCTTCCTCTTCCCGCCCCCCTACCCTGAGAAGGAGATACAGGTCTGAGGAAAGTGGACAGTCCCTGCTGTAAGGGCTCAAGACTGAGCAGAGAGACCCCCTCAAGTCCCAGTCTGATTAGGGAAAAGCCCCTATGCTCAGGCAGCCCAGTGTGACTAAGAAAGCCAGGACCTAGAGGTAACTGATGGAACAGAGGTTCCAGGAATACTTCTAAGGACATCAGAGGTTATCCTAGGACACGTCCAACCCAGCAGCTCAGAAGGATAGGGTGTCCTGACCAGGGAAGGCCACCTGGAAGGGTCTGGCTGGGCAGAAGAAAAGTAGCATATGGATCCTGGGCTTCTCCCTACCTCCTTCCAGTGTCTTACAGCTTTTAAGGCTGCCTATGATTGCTGCCTGGTCCTTCCCCACAGCTGTCACCAGGGCCAGATTCTTGGCCTTATGCCCTCCCTTCTTTTCACAGACGTGCCCTCGTGGCTCAAGAGCCTCCGCTTGCACAAGTACGCAGCCCTCTTCTCACAGATGAGCTATGAAGAGATGATGACACTGACTGAACAGCACTTGGAGTCTCAGGTGAAGCTGAGGGGACCATCAGGGCATGGTTGAGGGCAGTACCATTTAGACATGACCCTTGCAGTCCAAGCCTCCTCTCTTTGGGTCTTGTTGGGGCACCTTGAGTACCTTAACCTCCCATTTCCAGCTTCCTGTCCCCTCTGCCCTCTCCACAGAATGTCACCAAAGGTGCCCGCCACAAGATAGCCCTGAGCATCCAGAAGCTGCGCGAAAGGCAGAGCGTCCTCAAATCCCTGGAGAAGGTAAGGACCTGGTATCCCCATCTCCAAGGTCAACTGACTGCCCAGTGGTGCTAATGGCTGAGGGCTCTGGGTCAGCCTTGCTGCCCATGTGGCCCCCCACCTCGGGATCTCCCCAACCCGAGGGGAACTTGGCTCTGGGAACCAAGTGCAAGTCAGATCACAGGGATCACTTGCTTGTGGCTAAGCTCAGAGGCTCTCCTCCCTGTCTGTCCTGGTCTGTGTCTCCGGAATCTTATTTGTTGACTCAACCCCTTCTCTTCATTTCACTTTTGCATCTCTAACAACTCTTTCTGGTAGAGCAGTGTCTCCCTGTGCACACAATCTCTCTTTCCAGTTGGTTGTTTCTTATCTGCGCCCTGTCCTTACATATCTGCCTTGATTTGCATCCCTTTTCCTCTTTCCCTGCCACTTGCCTTCTGGTTTTTGCTCCCTTCAGTGTCTTAGTCCAAATCTGTGAGTTTGAATCTGGTACCATCCTCAGTGGGACCCTGAGACCCCAGCATTAGCCCACCTTCTCCACATCTCCATGGGACTCCACCTTGAAGTGGGGAAGAGGGAATATGTGTGTATAAATGTGTGTGTATGTACACTCTAGCAGCACCTTTACCTGCCTTCTCTGTGTGGTGGAACCCAGGGTCCCGCCAGCTCTTTGCAGGGGCTGTTTGACCCCATATGCATAGTCATTCTGCAGAGCTGTAGGGATTGGCGTGTGACCCAGGCTGTGTCTTTCCCACTCAGGATGTGCTGGAAGGCGGAAATCTGCGAAATGCTCTGCAGGAGCTGCAGCAGATCATCATCACCCCCATCAAGGCCTACAGTGTCCTCCAGGCCACCGTGGCCGCTGCCGCCGCCACCACCCCTACTGCCAAGGATGGGGCCCGGGGGGAGCCACCACTGCCAGGTCCTGAGCCTCCTCTGGCTCACCCTGGCACAGACAAGGGCAGTGAGACCAATGACCCTCCAGCTGCAGAGAGCTACCCCCCTCCACCAGCTCCGGCTCCCACTGATGGCAGTGAGCCAGCTCCGGCTCCCGTCGCTGACGGAGACATCCCCAGCCAGTTTACACGGGTGATGGGCAAAGGTGAGACCACCCAGGGCCCAGCAGGAGGTTCTGGGCCAAGGTACCAAGTGAACCAGGCATCAGGGGTCAAATCCAGTTTAAATGATGGGAGCAGAACTTTTCAAAGCACCCTGGGGACTAGAGCACTAAAGAAAAGGGACTAAGACTAGGATGACAAGGCCCCTTCCCTCCGGCATGTCCAGGCTGATGATGGGAGACAGCCCTTACCCTCAGAAGACAGCCTGAGCAGAAGATGGGACATTATGTCAGTGGAAACTGCATACAGCAAAGAGTAAACAGATAAGGCGGATCCATTGGTTCTTTCAGAGGGGACTGAAGTCCACGGGATCGGTATCCTGATGCTCTTAATGGGCTCACCTTTTCCTAAGGCAGCACAGCGTAGGCAGGTTTACACTTGGGTCTGAATTCTTTTAGCTGTGTGACCTGAGGCAAGTCACTCAAACTCTCTGAGCCTCAGACTCGTCAGGCTAAAACTCCCTCCATTGATGAGACTATCATAAGACTTAAAAGGAGAAAAAGTATCATTGACTTCATATCTGCCATATACCAGGCAGTACGGTGGGCCCTTTATATAGCCTCGTAATAAGCCAGGTGCAATGCTTGGCACATAGCTAGTACTCATCCAGCATGAGTTTCCTGACCCATCTTCTCTGCCACCCAGCTGGGGCCAGGGGAGCTGGAACATGGCAGAGGGCATTCTGGGGGCTAACCTCCTGCCTTTTTCCATGTCCCCAAGTGTGCACCCAGCTGCTGGTGTCCCGACCAGACGAGGAGAACATCACCAGTTACCTCCAGCTCATCGAAAAGTGCCTGTCTCATGAGGTGAGGCCTTCCCTAGGGCTCTCAGGAATGGAAAGGCTGCCCCCGTCCTCTCAGACCAACACTCCTTATGTGTCCAGCAAGGCCTCACCTAACTGACTCCTGCCCACCTCTCCTCATCCTTCCAGTGTTGGGTTCAGTGGATGCCCTGAGCTCATTCTGAGAGCCTTAGTACCTAATTCTTCTCTAGGGAGTAAGTCTCCCTCCCACCTGCTGATCCCTCAGCTTTCAGTAAAACAGGGATGCCTTCACCAGCCCCTCATAACATCAGGTTTCTTGTGCCTCCTGTGCTGCTTCCTCACAGCATTTATCACAGTTACAATTTCGCATGTATCATCTCCCCAGCTAAACTGTAAGCTGTGTGAGCACAGGTCACCTCTGTGTCCCAGCGTTGCCCAGCACAGGACAGGCAGTTGTTAATACTTGAGCAAATGGATAGAAGGCAGATCTGAAAGAAGCACACACATCTCTTTCACCCCCCTAATTCTAGGCTTTCACGGAGACACAGAAGAAACGACTGCTGTCCTGGAAACAGCAAGTGCTGAAGCTCCTCCGGACCTTCCCGCGCAAAGCTGCACTGGAGATGCAGAACTACAGGCAGCAGAAAGGGTAGGAGGGCGGCCAGGGCACAGGGACCTTCCTTTCGTAGGCCCCTGTTGGTTGACAGATAGTGCTTAGAGGGGTGATTGCATCCTGGGCTGGGAGTCCAATTGTCCTCATTCAGTAACTGAGTGGCCTTATATAAGTCACTCAGTGAGGACTTTCCCATTAGAAAATCAGGTGGTGCCTTATTTTCCATTAGAATAGAGCGCTGAGCTAGCAGAATCAGTACCCATCTCGGTAGCTGGCCCCTTGTCTGTCCCTTGTTCTCCTCACCTGTGTGCAGAGGGCTCTGAAGTCCCTTCTCTCCCTAAACAAACAACAGAAACATCACACTTGAGAACTGAAGTTAGAACTGCTGTGAGTGGACTTGAGGAAACCTTTGGACTCTCCCCATCTTCATCTTAGGAGTCTCTTGGGGCAGAAGGAGACAGAATTACAGTGCAAGGACTTGGACAGGGAATCCCTGCTCATGCAGGTCTATGTTCTTTCCTGCCACAGGGGTTGTGGGGGGTGAGAGGAATAGGTAAACAGATGGGCCCCATACACCTAAACTGATACCCTGCCTTCTGCTCTCTCACAGCTGGGCGTTTGGCTCGAACTCACTCCCCATAGCTGGTTCTGTGGGGATGGGGGTGGCCCGGCGGACCCAGCGGCAGTTCCCAATGCCTCCCCGGGCCCTTCCGCCTGGCAGGATGGGCCTTCTGAGCCCTTCGGGCATTGGGGGCATCTCCCCTCGACATGCCCTCACCAGCCCCAGCCTTGGGGGCCAGGGCCGACAGGTGAGCCAGCTGGAAGCAAAGAGCCTGGCACTTCTGGGGTTGGGGTGGTGGTGCCTGTGATGTGTGTCTCCATATGTTTGTATCCAGGCGGGCCCAGCTTAGTGGGGAGGGGACTCTGCCAACTCCGCCACTCCTGGGCCTGGGTCTTTTCCCTACCCACTCACTGCTCTCTGTCTTCCTGTGCCCCATGCAGAACCTGTGGTTCGCCAACCCTGGAGGCAGCAACAGCATGCCCAGCCAGAGCCGCAGCTCTGTGCAGCGCACCCACTCGCTCCCGGTCCACTCGTCACCCCAGGCCATTCTCATGTTCCCTCCAGGTAAGGTGCCCGCCCTCAGGACTCTGCCTCAGCACTGCCCTCAGCTGGCCTTTCTTTTCTGGGTATTATATACACTGTCCCTTGCATACGTCTGTTCTCTCTCTCTCCCTCTCCCCCTCTTCTCTCATTCCTTACCCCCACCCACCCCCATCTCTCTCTCTTCTCCCTGTGTCATAATCTCAGTGCTCATACCGGTGTCTGTCTGCATCTTTTTTGAGAATTGTTAAGTACTCAGTTTGAAAGGAATGGAGGGGATGAGACACAGTGGCCAGGTTTCTGTAGAAGGGAGTCCTGGTTATCAGTCCACTAGTGTTTTTTCAGAAGCCAGGTGACCAAGCAAGAACCTGTAGACTTCGTCTCTTTGAACAGGTTCTACCCTAAGGGCTGTCTTCCCTCTGCTTACAGATAAGCCTAGAGATGGGAGATCAGAAGGAGGGCAAAGTAGGCAAAAGGGAGATTAGAGATGCGCTAGCCCTGTCTTGCTCAGCAAGTCAGGGGTGACTCCCCTGTGCCAGTCTTGCTGCTCGGCACTGAGGCTGCAGAAGCAGAGAAGGCTGGTCTGGAAAGGGCTGCCTCTAGAGAGAGCTTAGATTTGCTTGTGACCCCAAACTCTTTATGTCACAAAGAATTCTTTTATGAGATTATGTGAGAGGCAGGAGACCCCATTTGTCCTGTTTATCCTGCACAGGGCTTGGCATATGGTAGGCATCTGTAAACACTATCAAATGACTGGATGGTTGAATTGCAGGAGTGAAAAATGAGACCAGTTCTTTTCACCAGTAGGCTATGTGTCAGACACCTTTCCTGCACTGTTCAGTCAAATCCTCCCAGCTGCACATGTGAAAGCGCTGATATTCCCATCTTATTAGTCATGAATCTGAATCTGAGATTCAGAACTCTGAATCTCAGAGCAAGGTTGACCTTGCCCAAGGTCAACTTTTTTTTTTTTTTTAAATTAAGGAGAGACAATTAGATGATCTGACATGGCTTGTGGATTTATAGGAGACATCATGAGAGGTGAGGCTGGAAGGTGAAAGAGCAGGGTCTTCTGAACCCAGGTAGAAAGCTGAGAGTTCCTCTAGAATCAGTAAGGAGCCCAGAAAGGCTTTTAAGCAGTGAGTGGTGTTAGGTCTGCCCGGTACCAAGTGTGTGTATGTCTTAAAGGCTCTGTGTCCCTGTTTCTTGCCTCCTTTCCTTCTCATCCCCCTCAGCCTCTCCCTCACACCAGCGTCTGTCTTTGTGACTCTACCCTTCACCCTAGTCCAGTCCTTACTGCTTCCGTTCTCCTCTCTCCCACCCAGACTGCCCGGTCCCTGGGCCTGACCTGGAGATCAATCCCACTCTGGAGTCTCTGTGTCTGAGCATGACAGAACACGCCTTGGGTGGTGAGCATTTCCTCTTTCCCTGACCCAGCTCCCACCTACCCAGCAGCGTCTCCACCTCTGAACTGAGCAACTCAGAGTCATCCTGAGGGGTCCCTAGGGGAGGCCGGACTCCAGGGAGGGCCTGACTGGGATGACAGGCTACCTGAGCACCTTTTCTTGGGCCTCCCGCCAGCTCCTGATCTTCCTCCCTTCCTCCCTTTCTTACCACAGATGGGACAGACAAAACCTCCACCATCTGACGGGACCCACAGCCCAGCGCACCCATAGGCTCCCTGGGCGGCGGGCGGGGGCCAACCCCCAACGGGCTTCTCTGCGACAGCGAGAGGGTGGGCTGGCTCAGCTATACATTCTAATATTTTTCTACTCTCTCACCCTCTTAACTTTTGTTTAACATTGGCACACGCCTTGCTCACTCCCAGGCCCGTCGAGGGATCTCTGCTGAGGCCCAGGGAGGTAGGGGGCAGCCAGGATAAAGGGGGCAGGGACTGGCCAGCCTGCCTGCCCCCTCCTTCGCCCTTCACCCCCAACCTGGCCCTGTCCCACCCCTGCCTCCTCTAGACTGCCGGCCACCTGCCCCTCCCAAGGAAAAAGTCTCCCCAGACTCACTAACCCACTCTCTTGTGGGGCCTGCTCAGAACCATCTGACATTTGGGGAGAGATGAGTGGGGTAGATAATCTGCTCTCCTGAATGTTATTTGAGAGGAGCTGAGGAGATAAAGGCGGGTGAGGAGAGGAGCGTGTCTGTCTGCCTATCTCTCTCTCCCTCACCTCCTTATACCTTCTTCTTCCCCATTCCCATCATTCCCCAAGGACAGGAGCCACCCTCCTCTCACTCACCTCCTTTTGCCCTGTTTATCAGAGATTCTCTGCAATTAATTTCTTAGGTCTATTTAAGATACATATTTATATAGTTCTTAACGGTTTTTCTCTCTGATCATTCCCTCTCATTTTTAGAATCCTCAGGCCTCTCTCTGAGCCAAGAAAGTGGCAGGGGGAGCCTGAATTTTATGAGGGGAGAGGGCAGAGCCCCCTCCTCCACACCCCCTAGCCCTTCCCCACCCCACCCCTAGCCCTGGCTCCGCAGATGCAGAGGTCGAAGGCTGGGAGCCAGGGCAGCCAGTGAGGTCAGGAAGTCTGTTGCCTTAACGTCTCCTACTCCCGCCAACACAAATTCTTCTCCACTCCCAAGTCTGGCTGCTGAAAGACTTGGGGGTAAAGAATAAGGGAAAGGGGTTGGTTTTTGGTTTCCTTCCCCACCCCTATCCCCTTTTCTTTTACCCTTCCCCCACCCCACCCCCTCATTTCTGTCATGACCTCACTTAAGTGGAACACTATATATCATAACCCAGAGGTTCGTCCCAGCCCCAGAGTCATACCAATCTCTGTTCCTACTGAGGCGTTGTGCTGGGGCCCAGTTGGAGGGAGGGAATTTGGGGGTTCAGGCTGTGGGGAAGCCAGGGTCTCCTCTTCCAACCCCATCCCCTCAACTCCCCCCTCACTGGGACATTCTCAAGCTTTTCACACCGAAAAGGAAAAAATGTTATTTTTAGATACATTTTATGAATAACTTTTGTTATGAATATGGCTGGTAACCATTGTGTATGTTATTAAAGATACAAAATGTTGGGAAAAAACAAAAAACCAAAAAAAAAAAAATTTAAAACCACCACCCTCCCTGCACTCACCCATTCCCCGGACCTTCTTGCCTCTGCCCTCCTGGTCTGGACCTCCCTCAACTCTGACCCAGGGTGGGGGAGGAAGCCAGGGGGTGGGGTGGCCCTGGGGACCTGCTCCAGGTCCCTACCTCCTCTCCCAGTGCCGGGCTGGGTGGGGTGTCAGGTTTATTTATGTACCTCTTGCACACTCATCAACCTATGCAAGTCCCCCATCCCGGCCCCTCCATGTTTCTGTGCCTTTGCTCATTCCCCTCCAACTCCCAGGGCTTCTCCAATCCTCCTCCTAGCCCGGGGAAGTGGGATGGACAGGGGCCACCTCGATTTTTGGAATCAGCAGGGTGTCCCTCTTAAGAGACCCTCACCTCCTCCCAGCCAGTCCTGTCTTGTTCACTACCCATCAGGGTGAGCTGGGTCTGCCTGGCACTGGGAGGTGGTGAGGGACACCCCCCACGTAATGGGAGGCAAGAGCTGCCCCCTTCCCCCCACCTGTCAGCAGAGTGTGCAGGACGCAGGCGGCCCCACTCTGATGGGCAGGATCCTGACCCACTCCTGCCCCTCCCCAGCCCCCGTCCCTCCACCATGATTTCACCCTTCCTTCTATTCCCAGCCCCACTGGCAGAATCAGCTTTGAGTAACTGTACAGTTTTTCTCGCTGTTGGAGAAGACTTATTTGTTGGAGTTTCACTTGTTTAATGGTCTGGGCTTATTTTGGAAAAAAAAAAAAAAAAAGAACAAACAAACGAAAAGGATTCTGATCTTTGTTATGCTATATTTCCTGAAAAAACCTAGTGACCCTGCCTTTGTGGCTTTTGCTTTTGTGCCTTAAGCACCTGGGGTGGTTCAGGGGGGTATGCATGGGGCAGGCAGAATGAGACCATGGTGCCTGGGAGGGGAAGTAAAGAGAAGCTGGCTTTATTAACAGCAAAGGTTTGGAGGAGAGGAAAACAAATCAATAGGCTCACAAAGAGACCACGCGAAAAGTGCCTTCCTGCACAAAATAACTATCTGCACCAGGGCTGAAGGCTCTGGGACTCAGTCACTGTCACTGTCAGCTTCACTGGAATCAGAAGCTGCAGCTTCACTGCCATCCTCCTGAGCAGAATGCTCGCTGCCACTGGGGAAGGGACTGGCGCTCCGGCTCCGGCTGTGGCTCCGCTGGCCACCCCCATCACTGCCACTGTCTGAGTCATTGTCACTGCCACGAACCCGTCCTCTGTCCTCATCATCAGAGTCGGCGTCATCCTCCGAATCAGCATCACTGCCGAAGATCTCCTCTTTGTCTCTGGCGGCCCGGGCCTCATCCTCACTGCTTTCATCCTCGCCGCTGCCACTCTTGTCACTCGCCTCGTCCCTGTCACCCTCCTCCCGTTCACTCTCACTGCCAGAGCGCTCATCCTCACTGCCTTCCTTCTCACTGCTGCTGCCCTTCTCTCGTTCCTCATCTGCAAGGGAGCAAGAAGTGAGACCCAAATTCCCCACCCACCCAGACTCCCAGAGTCAGAGTTTGCTCTGTCCAGCTTTACCTGAGCCCCCAGCTTCTTTCTCTTCTGTCTCCATTTCCTCCTCCTCTTCCTCTTCGGGTTCATGGTTCTCCAGCTGAGCCTTCCGTGCCTCCTGAAAGCAGGACAGTTGAGGGGAAGGAGAATGTTCAGTCTGGTTCCTGTGCCACTCCACCAACTACCATCCTCCCCATGGGAGACCTGGGTCAGTGGTGCTTGTTACCTGGGCTTCTAATTCCTTCTCATTCATGTCTCGGTGTTTGACCACAAGCAGGGCGTTGGTACCTGACTGAACCCCAGCCTTGGCTCGGCGCTTACTCAGGCGAACCCTGCAGTGATAGAATTGGGGAGAAGTACATGAGATTCAGTGGGGAATCTGGTCTAACTTGGTTCTTACTCATCTTTACTCATTTATGCTTAGCCCAGAAAAGACCAGAATAAATACAGACTGAATAAGGGAAACTAAATTTGGAGTAGGGGACAGGCAAGAAAAAAAGCCCCTGATGGCTCAGATGGTAGTCTGCCTGCAGTGCAGAAGACCCAGGGTTCAATCCCTCTGTCAGGAAGATCCCCTGGAGAAGGAAATGGCAACCCACTCCAGTATTCTGGCCTGGAGAATCCCATGGATGGAGGAGCCTAGCAGGCTACAGTCCATGGGGTAGTAAAGAGTCGAACACGACTGAGCAACTTCACTTTCACAGGCAAGAAAATAGCTCCAAAGGTATCAGTTTGAGTGCCCTGTACTTTATATATGTGTATATGTATGCCCTTTACATAAACGTATAAAGAAGTAGATTTTAATGTGAATTAGATACCAACACTTAAAGAGAGAATCTGGATTTCTGGCTTTTAGAAAACAAGATTCTGAGATTCCACTGGGCCTCCGATTCCCTTCCCACCACCACCCCCCCCCAACATAGCAGCAGTGGGTTGGAGCTCTTTGCTGTGCTGGGTCACAGTGCCCCTTGAAGGCTGCCAAGGGCTCCAGGTCACCTAGACCCCAACAGCCTACTGTGCATTTTACACTTTTTGCCTGGCTTAATGAGGTCAGAATTTGTGATCTCTGCTTTAAACAGAAACTCAAGGTCATACTTTCCCAACCTTTACATCAAGGGTCCCAGCACAGCAGTAAACTTGTAACCATCAGGGAAGTTTTGGGGTCATGTTTTTTGAACTTGGGTATCTAGCATTTCACTTATTTAAAACATTAATTTTAATTTTACATATTACTCCATATTTTTGGCTATGTCTACTTTTACATGGAGTCTCTTATTAATATCAGGGGAAACTTGGCAGTCCTACCCTACATGAAAGCTCCAAATAACCTCCAAATATCTCCAGTGTTAGGTCGAGATTTTTCTTCTGGGTTCTTGTGTGAGAACCGGCTCCGGCTTTATAGGCTTCCACTCTTACAAATGCATGTGGCAAATCCCTAGATACAAAGCCACCTCCAAGGTGGCTCTTCTTGTATACCCCAAGATCCTGATTCTGAAGCACAAGCCCAAGCTAATCTTAGTGAGGTAGGACTGTGCTGAGTACCTGGTCTCCAATTCATTGTAGTAAACACCATCACCCTCTCGGAAGATAAAGAAGTAGTTTTCCTCATAGCCTTTGCTAGCCTTGTTCTTCACATTCCAGTTGTACTCTCGAGCTATCTTGTAGTCATACCTGAGGATGAAGGGGACAGGGTCAGCCCCATTTCTTCCCTGAGGAAGAAAAGGAGACACTTCTCAATACCCAAAGCCTAACCCCAACCCACGTACACATCATCTGGTGCATAATCCATCTCCTCTTCCTGGTCCCGTTTTCTTTTCTTCAGTGTTTCCTCCACAGGCAGAAAGTAAGCCACAAACTGGTTCCCTTCCTCATCCATCATGCCCCTGTTTGAGGGGGAAAGAGGAGCCGTTAAGACTGAGTGAGGACAACGACAATAAAAAGCAGGCCAAGGTGGACAGCAGGGCCACTTACCTGATCATGGCCTGAGACATCATCTCCAATGCAGCTGCACCACTTGTGTCCTTGGGGGCGGGGTCTGAATCAAAAATTACCTGAGCGCAAGGGTTGATCCACATCTGGGGGATGGAGGGCACTGGGGTTAGACTAGGATAGGCAGAGATGGCAGGCTGCCCCTCTCTGCCCCCTGCCCTGGGTCTGACCTTAAAATCTGGAAAGACAGGCATGACCTCCACTGGTGTCACTCGGGGCTTGCTATAATGCTGGGAGATCTGGCAGAGGCAAAAAAACAGGGTAAGAAAAAGTACAAAGTGCTCTGGAGCCGCACCTTTACCCCCCCCCCACCCCCTTTCCCCTATCCCAGTCCTTCAATTACAGATTTCTGGGCATCCTCAAAAGTTTTCTCGATAGCTGTGATCTGGCTATCCCTGTCTTTGTATATTTCCTCCTCAGTAAATTGCTGCTTCACAGAAACCCCAATCCTGGGGAGAAAGAGAAAAACATTTAGAGGTCACTGGACACACCTGAAATCTACCTTCCCTCCCTACCCACCACAACTTACTTGACCTCAGGTTTCTCATTGGAAATGCCATAACGGTTGAATTCAGTGGAGATGTACTCTGTCTTCCGCATCCACGGCACCACCTTCGCATGCTGCTGGGATCTGGAGTGGGAGAATCAGGCACCTCAGGACCCCACTGCCTTCCCATCAGTGCCAGTCCTAAGTCCCCACTCAGCACCCCCTCACCTCTTGGAACTGGTGGGGGCCTGAATCTCCTCTTCCAGAAGCTTCTCATCAGCTGGGTCTAGGAGTACTAGAAGAAAGCAAGGTGAGAGCAGCACTCTGAGGGAGGCCCAGAGCTGGCCCTCGTGAGCCTAGAGCAGGCCCTCCCTGTCTCCCAACACACCATTGGGGTCGATGCGGTAGGTGTCAGGGTTGATGAGGTCAATGGTAACTCCCAGGTCTGGCTCAGTCAAGAGATCATGTTTGTGCTGTTTTTCCAGGGAAGTTGCTTTGTACTGAACAAACCTGGGTAGGGAAAACATGCCCATTATAGTTCCCTGATTCCAGCCTTACCCCTCACAGCCCAGCTTCCTAGAGGCTAGGTACTCCAGGGAGGAATTCAGAATGAAATAGCCTCCTCGTTAGAATCAGAAAGCTAGCAGCTCTTAAGTGTAAAGAGACTTGGATACTGCTTGCTTCTTAACAGATACCTATGGAGCACCTACTATTACAGGTTAACTACCATTCTGTGCCCTGAACCACCAGAAAAAGCAGTCCTTACCCTCAAGGAACTCATATTCTAAGGTGTATCCCTAAGCCCCACTCTTAGTCTCACCTGTTCTGGTCGAAGGGATAGGTGATGAACTTTGGGTCGAAGGGGATGTCAGGGAGGCTATTGCAGTACTTGACTCGGCAGACCACTCCAGACCTGGGAACACAGTGGCTCAAAACCTGGCCCCTGCTGCCCCACCTCTGCGCCCACCTTGGCCCACCCGTCCTGGGGAAACACGATGGAGCTCACCTCTCAGGCAAAGTCCGGTGAGAATTGGGCCTGGTGGGTAAGAGACAGACACTGACAAATGATGGAAAGAACAGGATTGACAGGAGAGCGAAGGGGGCTTTTCCAAGCTTTTAAAAGGGAAGGAATGGGTGACAAATGATAATTCTTCTTGGTAGAGGTACCTCAAGTACTCTAATGGAGGGAGTCAAGTATGCCTCTTGATTAGAGAGAGTGTCCCTGAATGTTTTTCAATCCCTTCTGAAGGACACGTCTTCAAGTACTTAATAATAGAGTCAAATAATTGTTTTTTGGGGAAAGGGGTCTCCAAACGCTTGACTGGAAGAATAAAAACTCAATCCTCAACAGCTTAATTCCAAAACTCCATTGCAGGAAAGGTGTTGGGGGAGCTGGGGAACACCACGTCCGGGACCCGCCCCCCTGAACGGGTGTGCGCTCCGTGACGACACGGGCAGACCTGTGGGGCTAGCAAGGTTGTAGACTGACAAACCCACCTGACCCTCTCACCTCGCTGACGCCCACCCTGACCTAGAGAAAAGCGGTACAGTCAGGCGGCGGAGTGCCTACCTGTGGCCATCCTCGCGCTGGGCCTGGGTCTGGATAGTGGGCGCCATGGCGATGAGGCGAGGGCAATCCTGATGAGAGCCTCACAGAGCCACGGCAAACGGCGTGCCGACTTCGGCGGGCGCCCAATCCCAGGCAGGGCTCGGGCTGGCACCGCTCTCCTCACGGATAGGGCCGGAGTGAGGTGGGCTGGCGAGAAGAGTTCCCGGAACACTGGAGTACTACGTAGTACTCAAGTAAACGCGCAAACAACGCCAAGGACTGCCCCACAGCTCCGTCTCCACCAACTGCCGCCAAGACTCTAAGGACCGCAGGTCGCCTCCGCCCGCTAGGCCTTCTGGGAAATAGAGTCTGATTGGCTCCACACCCGGATTGGCCAGCGACTGTTCAAAGGACGGAGCGAGGCGGAAAGAGCCTCTTGTGATTGGTTTATCGATATCTCATTGTAGCCGTCGGATTTGAGAGTCACTAGTTGGAGGGTGGGTTCTTTCCTCTCATTGATTGTATTGTCTGGGAGGCGGAGCTAATCAGCAAACGAGGCCCAGAGACGAAGACGCTAAAAAGAAACCGGGAAGACGCACTTGTGACGCATTTCCGGCGCGCGAGGCGAAGATGGCTGCATCCCAACAGCAGGCTTCAGCGACTTCTTCTGCCGCTAGTGTATCGGGTCCAGGTTCAGCTGGTGGGTCGGGTTCCCAGCAGCAGCCTCAACCACCAGCACAACTGGTGGGACCGGCCCAGAGCGGACTTTTGCAGCAACAGCAACAGGACTTCGATCCTGTGCAGCGTTATAAGATGCTCATCCCGCAGCTGAAGGAGAGTCTACAGGTGATGGGTTGGGAGATTTGGCTCTCTGCCATCCGGGGGGTGGGCGGAGGGATTGTTTAGTCAGGGAGAGAGCAAAAGAAGCGTTAAGGAAAGAGGAATGAGACTGTCTTCGTGATGCCAAAGTGAAGTTCTGTGGATTGACAGTGTAAGGTGGGATCAGAGAGAATCTTGAGTTTGAGACTGACCGGAATTCGAGTTGGAGGGAATTTAAAGAAAAAACCTAGCTCTGTACGTTAAAGCCTGAGGAAAGGACTGGCCTTTACTGACCGTGACTAGTGGGTGAGGGAGGACCCTAAGGTATGTCTGGGAAATTACTGGCAAGAGAGCGCGGGCCTCTGGAAAAATATGGATAGTAATTGCTATAAAGGAATGGAAGTTGGAATTACTTCGCAGTGATAGGACAAGTAACAACTGAAGAGGAGGCCTGAAATTGGATGTATCTTAAGGAAGAGTGTAGATCTACCAAAAGTGTCCTCTTCTGTTTCTTCATCTCCCACACCTTTTTTTTTTTTTTCTTTCCTTCTTTAGACCTTGATGAAGGTTGCAGCCCAGAACCTGATTCAGAACACTAACATTGACAATGGACAGTGAGTACTCCCCTTTCTCCAGGATGTCAGTATCTCCATCCTAGTCTCAAAAACACCCCTGGTACCCCACCCACCCCTCTTTTCTCTTTATTTTGAAGCCTACTCCCTATCCCCTGGCCTTGCCCTTTTTTTCCCTTCTACTATTAGCTGTCCCCTAGGTCTTACTTTGGGTCTCCTGGGTCTATACCTAGTTTTCTGATGGATACTTGGTTGGGTAGTCACTTAGTCCCAGAAACTGGAAATTCATCTTCCACCTTCTTCTCCTGGACTGTAGAAAGAGCAGCGATGGACCCATTCAGCGCTTTGACAAGTGTCTGGAAGAGTTCTATGCACTTTGTGACCAGCTAGAGCTCTGCCTGGTAAGGGGCCTCCTAGCCACCAGGTGACCACAATTACCTCAGTTCCTGTGCTTCAGGACCCTTCATTCAGTCAGTTGACACATGCTCACTGAGCACCTCCTGTGGCCCAGACCTGTGTGGATGCTGCACCTGATACTGGGGACAGAAAGTTGCCCAGTCCTTGCCCTCATAGAGCTTCCAGTTCAGTGGGTGACAAATATATCCTCCAGCAGTGATAGCTCAGAGAGTCAGGGCTCTGACAGGAGAAGCTCAAGACATGGAAGACCATGAAGGGGGAAACTTGGGCAGAAGGCCCAGGGCTGGGATGTGGGGGTGGGGGGGGTGGGGCCAGGCAGAGGGGGCAAGGTTAAAATAAGGGACGTTTAGGGGGCTGTAGACATCCAGAGATGGCACCTGACCCCACCTAGGGTGGGTCTAGGGAGGAAGTGGCTCAGGATAGACTACTAGTAGAGAGCACATCTGAGCCAAGGCTGGAACAAAAAGGGAAGAAGGGCAGAAGTTGAGAGGAGGGCAGATGGCTCAGAGCACAGCCTTTGGAGTAAGAGGGACCACCAATCTCTACCTCTGAACCTTGGATTCCTCCTTTGGAAAATGGATTTTGGGGAAGGACTCGGCAAGGTCTTGCATGTAAAGCACTTAACATGGTAGTAGACAAATGGCAAATGTTTTATAGTGTCATCGTCATTTTGAACTGGATTTTGAAGGAAAAGGCAGTTTGAGGAGCTTCATAGTGGTAGAAAGATGTTTCAACCAAGAGGATCAACTTCTGCTTTAAGTTCCCTTTAAGAATGTCATGAAATTCAGTCTGGCTGAGGTGTGGTAGGCACTGGGGCTTGTTAAGAGTTTGCATATAGCCCAGAGGTTGCTAGGGAGCCATGGAGGATTTCAAGCAAGGAAAAACATCAACCCATTTGTTTTTTTAGGGGTATACCTCTGGTCGCCAAATGAGGGATGGGTTCAGGGGACTTAGAGTGGAGGCTGGGGACCCATGGCAGGATTCAAGAGCCGCTAAGTTTCACCAGGGCAGGGTCCTGAGGCAGTGGGGAAAGGCAGGTGGGAGAGATACTCAGAAGGCTTTGTGCATGGGCAGTGGGACTGATGGGCTATGGGAGGATTCTCCAAGATGAGGCCCAGGGGTCTGGTTTGGATGGTAGGACCGTCCCTGAGACAGGGACCCAGGAAAGGGAGTGGTTTGGGGTGCAGAGTATAGGAGCTCTGGAATTTTAGGGGAAGTGGGCACATCAGTGCAGAGTTCGGAGCAGAGTGGTGTGTATGTGGGTGAGACACCTCCTAGAGGGCATGAGAATGAGAGGAGGAGACAGGATTCAGGAATTGCCACACTTAAGGCTTAAGTAGTTTAAGAAGCATCTAGAAGAACCAGCCAGAGAAGTAGAAGGAAAACGAGGAGGGGCAGGTGCCATCAGAGAAGCCAGTGTCAATGCCAAGCCTAGGGTTAGGAGAGTCACAATAGTAGTAGTTGACATCCATCAACTGGCACTTAAATAACTTGCCAGGACCTGTGCCTATGTCTCACACACTGTGCTCACCATTCTCATTTTAAGAGGTAGCAGAAGTAGTTATCAAACCCATTTTCCAAAGGAGTTAACAGGCCCAGAGAGGAGAAGCCACATGCTTGAGGTCACCCAGCAAGTGAGTGGCAGGGCCAGGCTCTGACCCCAAGACCCCAGGATTCCAGAGGCTGAAAAGCCTACCCCAGGCTGGCTCTTGGGGTGGGATTGGCAGTACCTCAAGTGAGGCTAATGCTGCACCTTGCTTGCCTGTCCACAGCGCCTGGCACATGAGTGTCTGTCACAGAGCTGCGACAGTGCCAAGCACTCTCCAACATTGGTGCCCACAGCCACCAAGCCTGATGCCGTCCAGCCTGACAGCCTGCCCTACCCGCAATACCTGGCGGTCATCAAAGCCCAGATTGCCTGTGCCAAGGACATTCACACTGCCCTGCTGGACTGTGCCAACAAGGTCACAGGCAAGACGCCTGCACCACCTACGGGCCCTGGAGGCACCCTGTGAGCCAGCAGGGCTGGGAGTGGGGGAAGGGACAGAGAGGGAATGAAGAGTGGCTTCAAAGCAGCTTTGTCTCTGGCTTTTCTTCCTGCCTGAGCACTCCCGCCGGCGCCAGCAGGGGGCAGCAGAGGCCCGCAGGGCGCGTGCAGGGCGGGGCCTTGCCTCTGCCGGCTGCCTTCTCATCCCTGGCTGAGGGTGGACTTCGGATTGTGCCCCTCGGTGATCTCTTCCAGGGGGTCTCCCCCTACCTAGCCTAGTTGTGGAGTCCTGACCGGGCCCCTCTCCCTCAGTCCATTCTTAATTTTGTCCCAGTTTGGGGGGTGGTCTCTGTGTCTGCTCCTTTTCTAGCTGCTTCTCTTGGTGTCTTCTGTCATTCGCTCTCCTTTTGTTCCCACCTCCCTCTCTCTGACCGTCTCTTGCCCAGTGCGCCTTCGCTACTGGGGACTGTCCCCAGCTCCTAACAACTTCCCTGGTGGCTCCGACAGTATAGCGTCTGCCTACAATGCGGGAGACCAGGGTTCAATCCCTGGGTCGAGATGATCTCCTGGAGAAGGAAATGGTAACTCACTCCAGTATTCTTGCCTGGAAGATCCCATGGATGGAGGAGCCTGGTAGGCTACAGTCCATGGGGTCGCAGAGAGTTGGGCACGACTGAGCAACTTCACTTTCACTTTCCAGCTCCTAACTGGGATTCTGTGCCTGTGCACAGGGCCAGAATGGAAGCCAGAACCCCAGGGTGACCTGGGGCTAGAAGGAGCTTCGTTTCCAGGGGCCATAGCCACACCCAGCAATCCCCAGCACCTCTCATGTCAGCTCAACCCCCAGTCTGCTTGACCCCAAAAAGGGGAAGTGGAAGGTCTGGGCCCTGACAGCATACCCAGTCCCAGTCAGGGAGCAACACAGCGTGCCCCCCCACCCCCCCATACCCCGGGCCTGCGTCAGCAACAAACAAGGGGTGTTATGCAATCCGTGGTGTAGCCAGCCCAGCTGAATGCCTGGGTCTCTGTATTTTTAGCCCTAAAGGAGAAGTGAAAAGGCCCTAGCAGGGATGAATCATCAGTCCTGGAGAAGAACCCAGGCACCTTGGCCCTAGCTCCGGGAAGTAGACCTTGAGGAGGAGGCTTCAGGAAGAGTGTGCCCCACCGGGCTCCCCACTTCCCCAAGAGGGAGCCTCAGGGAGCTCAGCCATGGCTGTCAGGCCTGGGCAAGTGTAGGGTGGAGCTACCAGCTCAGGCCCAGCTGGTGGGGTGTGAAAGGCCCAAGTGACTCAGCCTGGTTGGGGGACGGATGGCCCCACCCAGAACCTTCTGTACCCTGCTTCCCATGGCACCGCCCAGAGGTCTGCTGTCTTGGACCCCACATCAGTGTGGAACGCCCTGGAGCATGGAGCCCTGCAAATCACCCAGAGCCCAAGTCCCCACACTGGAGTTCTGGGAAATGGCCAGCGTGTGTGTGTGTGTGCATGCAAATCACTCAGAGCCCAAGTCCCCACACTGGAGTTCTGGGAAATGGCCAGCGTGTGTGTGTGTGTGTGTGTGTGTGTCCGTGTCCTACACTGATGGCCAGTGTGTGTGTGTGTGTCCGTGTCCTACACTGATGGCCAGCGTGTATGTGTGTGTGTCCGTGTCCTACACTGATGGCCAGCGTGTGTGTGTGTGTGTGTGTGTGTCCGTGTCCTACACTGATGGCCAGCGTGTGTGTGTGTGTGTGTGTGTCCGTGTCCTACACTGATGGGCCAGCGTGTGTGTGTGTGTGTGTGTCCTACACTGATGGCCAGCGTGTGTGTGTGTGTGTGTGTGTGTCCTACCCTGATGGCCAGCGTCTGTGTGTGTGTGTGTCCTACACTGATGGCCAGCGTGTGTGTGTGTGTGTGTGTGTGTGTGTGTCCGTGTCCTACACTGATGGCCAGTGTGTGTGTGTGTCCTACACTGATGGCCAGCGTGTGTGTGTGTGTGTGTGTGTCCTACACTGATGGCCAGCGTGTGTGTGTGTGTGTCCTACACTGATGGCCAGTGTGTGTGTGTGTGTGTGTGTGTGTGTCCTACACTGATGGCCAGCGTGTGTGTGTGTGTGTGTGTGTGTGTGTCCTACACTGATGGCCAGCGTGTGTGTGTGTGTGTGTGTGTGTCCTACACTGATGGCCAGCGTGTGTGTGTGTGTGTGTGTCCTACACTGATGGCCAGCGTGTGTGTGTGTGTGTGTGTGTGTCCGTGTCCTACACTGATGGCCAGCGTGTGTGTGTGTGTATGTGTGTGTCCGTGTCCTACACTGATGGCCAGTGTGTGTGTGTGTGTGTGTCCTACACTGATGGCCAGCGTGTGTGTGTGTGTGTGTGTCCTACACTGATGGCCAGCGTGTGTGTGTGTGTGTGTGTGTGTGTGTGTGTCCTACACTGATGGCCAGCGTGTGTGTGTGTGTGTGTGTGTATGTGTCCTACACTGATGGCCAGCGTGTGTGTGTGTATGTGTCCTACACTGATGGCCAGCGCGTGTGTGTGTGTGTGTGTCCTACACTGATGGCCAGCGTGTGTGTGTGTGTGTATGTGTCCTACACTGATGGCCAGCGTGTGTGTGTGTGTGTGTGTGTGTGTCCTACACTGATGGCCAGCGTGTGTGTGTGTGTGTGTCCTACACTGATGGCCAGCGTGTGTGTGTGTGTGTGTGTCCTACACTGATGGCCAGCGTGTGTGTGTGTGTGTATGTGTCCTACACTGATGGCCAGTGTGTGTGTGTGTGTGTGTGTGTGTGTGTGTGTCCTACACTGATGGCCAGCATGTGTGTGTGTGTGTCCTACACTGATGGCCAGCGTGTGTGTGTGTGTGTGTGTGTCCTACACTGATGGTCAGCGTGTGTGTGTGTGTCCTACACTGATGGCCAGCGTGTGTGTGTGTGTGTGTGTGTCCCACACTGATGGCCAGCGTGTGTGTGTGTGTGTCCCACTGATGGCCAGCGTGTGTGTGTGTGTCCCACACTGATGGCCAGCGTGTGTGTGTGTGTCCCACTGATGGCCAGCGTGTGTGTGTGTGTCCCACACTGATGGCCAGCGTGTGTGTGTGTGTCCCACACTGATGGCCAGCGTGTGTGTGTGTGTCCCAGCAGTTCCTACCCTTTCTCCCTGACCTTAAGTGTGTGTGTGTGTGTGTGTGTGTGTGTGTGTGTGTGTGTGTATCCCAGCAGTTCCTACCCTTTCTCCCTGACCTTCCTTGAAGTGCCAGGCACAGAGGGCAAGCTCCAGGCAGGGCGGCAGACCTCTCAGGCATGAGCTGAAGCTGCTATCCACAGGGAGAATTTCTTCTGGGAGGAAGACACAGCTCTGCCCATTTATCTGTCTAGATCAGCCCCCCACCCGTGTGATTCCCCACATCTTCTAGGATAATCTGCTTAAAGTCAACTGATTATAGACTTGAATCCCATCCACAAAATTCCTTCACAGCCCCATCTAGATTAAATAACTGGGGCTGTAGCCTAGCCAAGTTAACAAATAAAACTGACCATCATAACCTTGTCAGTTTGGCACCCCTACACATCTCCTTAACCACACTTAATCTCCAAATCAACACAAAAACAAAGTCCCAGTTCCACCTACCATGATAACAATTATCTGCCTACAACACTCCCCGTGAGAGCCTGCTTGGCTTCCAGGCTGGGGGCACACAGCACAGGGTGGCAGAGATGTGTCAGTCCACAGGCCCACACGCTCAGAAGGCACCGCTGGCCCTGTGAGGTGGCATCAGCACAGCATCACACACAGATGGCAGGACATCCCAGCAGACCGACAGGAGACACCTGGTGGGCGGCGGGGCGCAGGATGCACATTTCAGCAGCACACAGGATAGGAATCGTGCACCAGGAAGCTGAGCTCATGCAACACGCATGTGTGCGCATCTGTTTGGGCCAAGCCCTGTGTGGTGTGGACCTGCTGTGTTCACACTGTGAACTGTGTAGTGCCTTGCTGGAGCTGATATTCTAGTGACAGTGAAGTGTGATAAAAACACTGTGTCAGGCAGTGAGAAGTTCCAAGAAAGAAACCAGAGCGGTGACACCAGAAGTCAGATAGGGGGAGAAAAAGTGTTTAGGAATAAATCTAAAGGTGTAAGGTTTGCAAGTGGAGAATTAATGTTACTTTATTGGAAACCATGAAAGTTTGAGAGTTTAGGTTTGGGGGTAAATAGATGTTACATGTATTTTGTTGGTTCAGTTGCTCAGTTGTGTCCCACTCTTTGAGACCCCATGGATGTATTTATTATTTGTTAAATGGATAACAAGGTTATTTTTAAACCTTTTCTAATCCTTGACCCAGGTCATGAAGGCCTCCCTGAGAAGGTAGTACTGGAGTGAACTTAAAGGAGAGGGAGTAGGTCCTGGACATTCCAGAGGGAACAAGTGCAGAGGCCCTGCCTGAGGCAGAACTCTGGTGGTGCATGGATGGAATAACGTGGATGCCGGGACCACAGTGAGGAGGCAGGGTAGGAGAGGACCTCAGCGAAGCTTCTCACCGGATTAGCAGGCCCAGAGGAAGCTTGTACAGCCTGGAACACAACCACCCACTCCAGGGGAGGGTGTACATGAGATGCACAGCTACACAGGGCAAACCAGACCAGGGAGAAACAGGCACACACAACCCCTCTTCTCTAGTAGAGAACAGCATGACCCGCCATCCTGCGATCATGGTGTCTCGGTCCCAGGGACAGTCCCACAAACAGACTCAAGGAACAATCCAACCATGTGAATACACAAACAACCGTCTAACTACCATTTATGCCGCTATCTCCTGCCCCATCTCAGACTTTGCCCATCATCAGCTGACTCAGCCCTGCCCTCAGCTCTACATTATCAAAAGCAGTGAGGCTGGCTTTAGATAAGGCTTCTCAGGTTCAAGTGTGCCTGCCTTTTTGCCCCTGCTCTGCCCACAGAGGCCACCAAGAGGAGCAGGAGTGCGCCAGCCACCCTCCCCATCATGCGCACTGCAGACGTCAGGAACCAAAGTTCACCAGTTTCACTGCCTTGTGATCTGGCCACAGAGGAACTGCTTCCAGACCCTGGGTGTTTTCAGCTACACCCCAAGGACACAAACACAGGAACAGTATTCACGCACCTGATAACCACACAGTTCCAGGGGTCTTGAACACAACCAAGCCACCTACAGTCACACAGACTCTCACACACACCCTCAGCTCCCAAGCTGTGTGCTCACAGCTCCTCATCACCCCCAAGGACACACAGTCACCCTCAGTGGCCTCCCTCAAGGAGTTACCAGCTCTTAGTCACTCCAGATCCCATGGTGGTTCAGAGCTACACACAGATGTGCAGGTAGGTATGGAAGTCACAAGTTCTCATGGGATGCCACTTCAAAGGCAGTTACGTTTGAGTACACACTCCCTCACCCAGCGATGGTGAGAGTAAACAGTATGGTCACACAGGCAGAGGCGGTTTCCCTTATTTATTCTCAGAGCGGTGTCAGACGGGTTGTAAGGACACGGCCCTGACATAGGACAGTGGGCTCATTTGTGTCCCACACCTACTTGCCCCACCACACACCCAGGCGCTCCCCCTTCGCACATGTGGCACTCACGCGGTCCACACGCACCGCACAGCACACCAGCCGCTGGGCCCGCGCAGCTGCGCACACGGCTCCCGCCAGTCAATCACGCCAGGAGTACACGGGCCCAGGTCACACGTGCCACGCGTACACAGTCCCCAGCTCGCCCGCGCACTCGCGCCGGCTCTCACACCCCCGCGTTTCCCGTCCCCGCTTGTTTTTCTGGAAACTCTGCTCTCCATTCCCCTCCCCCTAGGCAGGAAGCGCTCGCTGTATTTTTAGCCTCTCTGGTTTCCGCCCCTTTCCCCCCGGCCAGCCCGCCCGGGACCTGCCCCCCTGCGCCCCGCGGGGGACCCCGGCCATCCCCTTCCCCACCGTCATTCCAGAGGGGATTCCCGGCTTTCGCCGAGGCCACGGATTTTCCCGCTGGCTACGTGGGGAGCTGGGTGGAGTCCTGCCCTGAACTTCCTCCTGAGCTGGGACTCCTGAGGCCTGGAAGGGGTGGAGGGGGGGGATGGGAGCCAGGCTCCTCAATCGGAGAGAGAGGGGTTGGTGGGGCTCGGACTCCTGCGTTTGAGAGACAGGGTGGCTGGGAACCAGGACTCCTGAGTCTGGTGAAGCCTGGGAGCCGGGTCTCCTGGGTCTGAGCGAGGAGGCGTATTGGAAACCCGAACCCCTTGATCTAAGCAAGGAGGGGCAGAGGCCGGGGCTCTTAGTACCCCCGCCCCTGTCAGTGTTTCAATGGGTGCTCAGTCCTTCGGCGCGCAAAGCCCCTTCCAGTCCCTTCGAGAATCTCCCAATCCGAAGCGCCTTGGCCCTCGGGCCGATGACTCAGCAGATGGGAGAGGGGAAGGGGTCAGCCTGACTCAGGGATGGGAACTGCTCCCGGTCTCCAGGGAATCGAAACTGGTATTCCCTCCTCCAGGATCGCGGCCAGAGCCAAGCCGGCCCCTAGGAACCCCGGAATGCCTCCCACCTCTCGTCCTCCTGCCCCTTAGTCCTACTAGGAGCACAGGGATTTGGAGCCCAACTGGGCGGCGGGTGCCGGGCATCTCCTTTTCTCCCCTTTTCCCCCCTTTTCCCGTAGTCCTCAAGCCTCTGTTTACAGGCGACCAAAACCCTGGTTACAGAGAGGAACCCGGGCGTCCGGGTCGAGCCTCCTCGTCACGGCTTCCAGGAAGCCCCCCTCCCCCGCCCCTTGCGAGTGAGTCACTGACGAGAGGGAGGCTGCAACCGTGCCAGAGCCGCCCGCAGCCGCCCAGCTCACGGGACCGGCCGGGAAGGCCCCTCGGCCCGAGAAAGCGCCGCACCAGGGATTCCCTTGCTCTGTCGGACGAGCATAAGTGTGCCTAGCAGAATCTCCCCACCTCAATACAAGCCCGCAGTCCGCAGTCACAACCTGCAGGAATGAACTTTCCACCATAATAACTGCACTCCGTGGCAATGATTTATTTCTACCACCGTATTTTTAGTCAGGGCAGCCAGCTCTGGAGACCCCTTTAAAAATTAGTGTTTTCACCGTATCTTAAGAAAGCATCACTCAGGGCAACTCCTTGACAATAAAAGACTTGTCAGTGAGAGGAGTCATTTCTGCAAACGCAGAGTTCTTTCAAGGCACATCGCTTTATGAGAGACCCATCCGACCATGCGTTGGGGATGATCCATTTCTTCCATTTGAGACAGCTTTCTGGCAAAGAAACCCTCCACCATAATAAAAGATCTCCCCCTTCCCTTGAGTGCAAACTCTTTAATATGTTTTAAGGCCCTGGTATTAGGCTACTGCCATTTACTTACAGGAGAATAACTTGGCCTCTTCATGCCTGGGTTCCCGTGTGTGTAAAATGGACATAATACCTCCTTGAGTTAATGTATGTAAGACACTTTTCTGCAATTGTGCCTAGCCCAGAGGAAACCATCAGAAGCGCCATTATTTGTGTGAGGGGGCGAAGACACAGCGGTCCTGTACTGGGGAAATGAGGCCCCTTTCCAACCTCAACAGGTGTGTGGGACCCCACCTCACCCCCAGTCCTCGTGAGTGGGGGCGAAGAGGGCGGTCCAGGTCTCAGGATCTGGGCAGTTCGGGAGCAAGACCATGCCAGGCCGACAGCTCTCAGAAGAGAATTCTTCACCAGGACTGGGGGGCGGGGGGGGGGCGGTTCTTCTCTCACTGTTTTGCTCCTGCGGACTTCTGTCTGTGGATGTTTGTTTCTTCCAGTTTTCGCCCCTTCTGTTTCTGTGACTCTTCCTCCCTCCTGCTTCTCGCTCTGAATTTTCCTCTTTGGGGACTATCGACGTCTCGTCTTTTCAAGCTCTGCCTTCCCACCTCCCCTCCTCTCCTCACCCTGTCTCTTCCCCTCTGTGCATGTCTCCCTGTGTGCGTAGCTCCCCCCGTGTGTGTGTGTCCCCATGTTTTTCTCTTTGCGTCCCTCCATTTCTCTCTTGCTCTCCGTTCGCCTCTCCCCGCCCCCGTCGGTCAGTGTCGCGCGCGCACGCCCTCTCCGCCTCTGCCCTTGTCAATACCCCCGGGAGCCCTGCCCCCCACCTCCGTCCCAGTTCCCTTCTTCGCGCCTCAGTCTCCAGCCTTGAAAACTGGGCCGACACCCCCACACCCGACCCCACGCACTCCCCGCGGGGTCGCGACCGCCCGCGGGCCCCGCTCAGGCGAATTCGGGCCGGGGTCCAGGCGGAAGGGCTCCGAACACGGGCGGGCCAGGCTGCGCAGGGGGCGCGCGTCCGGGAAGCGCCCCTCCTGGCCCCGCCCTCCCGGGCCAACTCCCCTTGGCCCCGCCCCCGCGTCAGGTCGGATAAAAGTGGCGGCTGTTCCACTCCACCGCAGCGTGACTTCAGCGCTCCCACTTTGTGCCGGTTCCACATCCTTCGGCCATCTGCGCCGCCATGGATCTCGCCGCCGTCTACAAGGTGAGCCCCCCCACTGATCGGCACCCCGACGTCCGCAACACCTGACTGACTCCCTTTTCAAACCAGGGCTCTTTAGGGCCGCAAACAAATTCCCGCCCCGAACCGCCCCCCCCACACCCCCCCAACCGGTTTCCTTTCTCAAACTGGAGCTCCTTAGCGCTTCATACTGGCCCGGGGTTCCTGCCTCCCGTATCAGATCAGTGTGATCCTCTGGGGATGAAAATGGAGCCTGTGGCTTTCTGGTCTCGGACCCAACACGAGTGGGGGGCCCTCGGAGATGGAAAGCTGGAGAACTTTTCTCAGACCGGGGCTGTCTGGAGGCGGAAATGGCCCCCACACCTGGCTTACCCGAGTAGTTGCTGAGGGCGCGGTTTTGCGCGGAGGCGTTTCTTGGGCTGGAGTCTCAGGGTGAGGGGGAGCCGACTTCTGTCGCTCCCTTCCCCAGAGGATCTTGGAACTCTAAACCCAAAGAGATCCGGACTCCTGGCTTCATTTTGCCCGCTGTTCCACTTGTGAAATTGGAGAAACCGATGAGCGGGGTCAGATCCCGAGAGACCCAGAGGCTTAAAAAATTGGAGGACATTGGTCTGTCCTGACTTCAGGGTCCCTCTGATCCAGCCCGGGGAGCCGAGATTCCTGGGTCCCTCGGGATGAGCTTATGTCGCGAATAAACCTCCAAATCGGGATCCTTGAGATCCGGAACCCGAGTTGTTTTTTTTTCCTTAGGGCGGGTGGGGCTGAGGCCGGGAGCCCACAAACCGGACTGGCAAGCCCTTGGTTGCCCTGCAGCTGGGGCGGGGCGTCACCCTGTATTTTCCGTGTCTTAACCGATCGTTGTTCCCACAGAAACTCCTGTCGCTGAGCCCTGAACTGCCATCCGACCTCGGAGAGACTGAGTCCGGCACCAGCTGGGCTTCCACGGGACCCTGGAGCCTCAGCTCATCCGACTCCAGCCTGCCTGGGGTCGCTGCCCGCCTGCCTGGCCGCTCCACCAGCCTGGTGGAGGGTCGCAGCTGCGGCTGGGTGCCCCCACCCCCAGGCTTTGCGCCCCTGGCTCCTCGACCCAGCTCGGAGCTGTCGCCCTCACCCACCTCGCCTACCGCGACCCCCACCACCTCATCCCGCTACAAGACTGAGCTTTGTCGGACCTTCTCAGAAAGCGGGCGCTGCCGCTATGGGGCCAAGTGCCAGTTTGCCCATGGCCTGGGTGAGCTGCGCCAGGCCAGTCGCCACCCCAAGTATAAGACGGAGCTCTGCCATAAGTTCTACCTCCAGGGTCGCTGCCCCTACGGCTCGCGCTGCCACTTCATCCACAACCCCAGCGAGGACCTGGCTGCCCCCGGCCATCCCCATGTGCTGCGCCAGAGCATCAGCTTCTCAGGGCTGCCCTCGGGCCGCCGAACCTCGCCACCACCAGCAGGCCTAGCAGGCCCTTCCGTGTCCTCATGGTCCTTCTCGCCCTCCAGCTCCCCACCACCGCCACCCGCGGACTTTCTACTTTCACCCTCTGCTTTCTCTGCTGCCCCAGGGACCCCTGTGTCCCGAAAGGACCCCACCCCAACCTGTTGCCCTTCCTGCCGAAGGGCCACCCCCAACAGCGTCTGGGGGCCTGTGGGTGGCCTAGCGCGGAGCCCTTCTGCACACTCCCTGGGATCTGATCCCGACGAATATGCCAGCAGCGGCAGCAGCCTGGGGGGATCCGACTCACCTGTCTTTGAGGCTGGGGTTTTTGGGCCACCTCAGCCACCTGCCGCCCCCCGGCGACTTCCCATCTTCAATCGTATCTCCGTTTCGGAGTGACAAGTGTCTGCCTAGTACAGATCAGCTGGATCTTAAGGGGGGGCCATTTCTCTTGTGCGTGGGTTCCACAAGGGGTCCCGGGGCTGTAGGGAACTGAGGGACTCGTAATCATGTAGTTCTCCCCACCTTCCAAAGTGCATTAACTCACTCCCCTGACCCCCGCACTGGGGCAGGTCCTCAGCGTGCAGGCTGTTCGGGAAGGAGTGTTTTATGGGGTCTTTTAAAAAAAAAAAAATGTAGCAAGTTTGAGGGAGGTAGTAAGCCTCTTCTCCCACTTCACCCCTGCCCAATGCTGTGAATAATACGCCCCCAATGCCCCCTTCCAATTCTTCCTAGATCCTGAGGCTCCAGTGTCTGGTGATTGGAGCCTCACCTGAAAGGGAATCCTGGTGCTCAAAACTTCCCTCCAAAAGCAAGTAGCCAAAGCCATTGCCAACGCCCGGCTCTCCCACCCCCGCCTTTGGGCCCTTTATTTATGACGACTTTATTTATTCTAATAGATTTTATAGTATTTATATATATTGGGTCGTCTGCTTCCCTTGTATTTTTCTTCCTCTTTTTGTAATATTGGACACGATGGAATAATTATTGTTATAAGTACACTATAATAATATATTAAGTAATATATATTGTTAAAAATTTATTTTTGTGGTTTTTTTGAATTTTTAAATAAAAGAAATCTGTGTGTAAAATTGGAATCCGGATGTTGTGCGGTCTTGAGGCAGTGAGATGGGAGGGGTGGACGGTGTGGCCTTTTTTAGAAACGGTGTGGAATCAGCTCCTCCAAACCTACCCAGAGCCCAGGCGCTGGCGGCACTTACCTGGCAGGAAGTGACGTCACCGGGCCCAGCCGTTCACCTGAGAAGGCGGGGCCAGGTGAGGTCACCCGGGAGGAGCCGGGAGAGCCAGTTCCCGGGGCGTGGGGGGCGCTGAAACTCCGGTCCCGCCGGACTCCTCGACCCAGCTCTCGGCAGGGCGCGGGCAGGGACGAGATGTTTCCGTCCCCACGGGGCCGAGGGAGGAGGGCGGGGCGGAGTGGGGAGGACGGAATGTGCTGGGGCGCGAGCCCAGGGCGGGCGAAGGAAGGCGGCCGGCGCGGCGGGTGGGGGAGGGGTCGCCCCGGAAGCCGGGGCGTCCTGGGGTGCCACCGCCCGGCCTTCCAGGACCGGAGAGTGTGGGGATACACAGGTTTTCGGAATCTTGGGGGAGGCATCTTGAAAGCCTCAGGATTCTAGAATCTCAAGACTGGAATCTCAGACTTGGTCTTCTGGAGACCTAACACTAGAACGTAATCGCAGAACTGTAAAAATAAATGAATAAAATAAATCGCAGAACTGTAAAAATAAATGAAAAAAAATAAAGTAAAAAAAAAAAAGAATCGCAGAACTGTAGACTCTGGCTTTCCAGGCCCCTTGAATCTTGAATACCAAAATCTTGGCCTGTCTGGATTCGGGAGGATCGGGATTGCGGAATCTCGACTTAGCTCTGAGTCGTGGAAACTCGCGGTCTCTCGCCCCAGGCAGGGTGGGAGTAGCGATCGCGAGGGCAGGGAGGGTGGTTTTCGGTCGGGGCGGGGCTCCCGGGGAGGGCCGCGTCCTCGGACCATACAAGGCAAGAGGCGGCGGGAACCACCTCGGGGCGGAGGAGCCCGGCTCCCGGAGCCCGGAAGCTGCCCAGCGTCAGCGCCTGCGCCCCGCCCCCTTCCGCCGCGGCCTCCTCCCACTTCGACCCCTGTTCCTCTCCTTACCCCTGGTTTTCTTCTACCCCATCTTCCCTCTCCTCTCCCCACCTCACCCCTCCTCCTCTCTTTCAGTTCCTCCTCGCCAGACCCTCCTGCGCCACCCTTCCCCTCCCCTACTTCCCCCACCCTCTCCAGTTCTTCCCCTCCCCCCAGCATTTCTCGCCCCTTCCTCTTTTACTTTCCTTTCCTTCTTGCCCCCCATCCTCCGTCCTCTATCACCTGTTCTCTTTCCTTCCAATTCCCTCCCCTTCTCGCTCCCTTTCCTTTCCTCTCCACCCCTCCCTCCCTGCCCACACCCTTCGTCCCCTTGGTTCCACCTCCCTCCTCACCCCATTTCTGCCCTACCCCATTCCCTCCTAGAGTGCTGTCTCTTCCCCTCCCACCCTCCTGCCTCCTTGACCTCTCACTCCGTGGCCCTCTCCCCTAGCCCACTGGTGGGCCCTAACCTTTGATCTCCTCTCCCATGAAGCCCTCCCACCCCAGCGCTCCGTTTTGGGAAAGGGGAAAGAGAGAGACTGAAACCTAGAAATGTTGGAGAGGAAGCGCAAGCTACGCAGATACATACAGACACTGAAAGAACAAGAAGTAACACAAAGGGTCCTTCCCTTTGCAAAAAAACAGATACTCTGCCCCTTGGAAACAAACTAATACACCCTTGTTTGAGAAAACAGCACCTGCCACCAGCTACCAGTGCAGAGAGCCGCTCCTCTTGACTTTTTTTCCCTCAAACCCACAATCCAAACCAACAGCAACCCTGTCTGATTCACTTTCTAAAGAGATGTTACAGTCCACCCTCCTGACTCCTCTCTGGCCCCACCTGCCCTTACCTTTAGTCTCTTACCACTCCCCGACTAGACAACCAAAGGGAAACTATCATGACACCTCAGTCAGATCACATTAATGCCAAAGTTCTAAGTCCTCAACTGCCTACACAGCCTGGCTTGGTCACCCTTGCTCTAGTCATTACGACTTCTGCTGGTACACCTCAGCCACAGGGCCTTTGCACTGGCTGTTTCCGTTGTACTCCCCGAAGTATCCCAATAGCTTGCTCCCCTTCTCCAGGTCTCTGCTCAAATGTTTTCTCAGAGATGGTCCCTGACTACTTTTATTGCAACCCCCTTCCTCCCTACCTTGCTCTGCTGTTTCCATGATGTTTATTACCCCCTCCTAACATATAAAATCACTTATGTTTATAGCAATCTGCACCCCCCCCCAACCCTTCACATTCGAGTGTCAAATCCTCAGAGGCAGGGACTTTGTTTTGTTCACTGCTGTATCACTCCACGTCTAAACCCCAAGCAGGAACCAGTCACATAGTGGTCCAAGCTTCAGAATTTGTTGAAAAAAATAATCGATTCAGAAACGAGGAGAGAGCGAGAACTCCAACACACACCCCCCCCACACACACGATAGTAACTGTGAGGTAAATGATGTTAATTAAACATTGTAATTATTTCACAATTTACATGTATCTAAAATTATCTTGTTCACCTTGAACTAACAGCGAGTATATCGCAATAAAACTGGGAGAAAAAACTTCAAGATAGAAGAAGATGGACAAAGAGACAGAGTCACTTACATAGTTTGCTGAGGACCTGACATTGCCTGACACATCTACAAAATTCTTTAACTGAGATTTAGACTCAAATTCCCAGACATCTAAGAGGCAACACCACCCCCTGGTGACGAAGAGGAAAACTGCACCTCCCCACAATAGAAAAACACTCCCTAACCGATCGTCGCCAGATCCCAGGACTCTTTCCAGCCTAAAAATACCGACGATCGAAATGTTTATTCTTTTAAGTGACGTAATGTTTCGGTTGATTAATAAGATGTATAAATGTGTAACCTATAAGAGAAAATTAAAAGTTGCTCCAGGTGAGGATCGAACTCACAACCTCGGCATCGCTCCGCTCGCACTGCCATATAAGTACCGCGCGCTAACCGATTGCGCCACTGGAGCTTCGGCCGCACCCCTGCGCCGCGGAGTCCTTCAGTTATTCCTTGCCACGTGACCTTGCAGGCTAGCTCCGCCTCTACTTTGCATATATAAAAAGGAATCTTTGGATTGGCCTATAGGAGAAAGTGCGTTACCAGTTCCGGCTTCTCACGCCTGGAAGGCTCTTGCTGTAAAAGGGAAAAGTCTGAGAGGCTTTTGGTATGTGGGGGTGTAGCCTGTCCGGGACCGCCTTTCATCAATATTCAGAACCCAGAAAGGAGGGGTCTTAACCCTTTGCGGGCTGGCCGGCCGGAAGGCGGCCCCTCCCCCCTGCGGGCGGGAACAGGATATGAGCCCGGGCGGGGGGGGAGGGGAAGCCCCAGGCGACCGCCCCCCGCCCCACCACTGGGACTGGACTCTCTAGACACAGAGGTGGCGCCGCCGCCGCCGCCAGATCCCGGTGCCATCCATCCTGAAGCCTGAGGGGTCTACAGTTGCAGACTCCAGCCGTCCGAAATTCTGCACCGCGTCCTGAGAGACCCCGAAACCCAGGCCCCAGCGTCCAGGCAGGCTAGAGGACCCCAGATATTCAGGTGCCCAGCGCCCCCTCCTGGAGGAGGAGCCAGGAGCCCGGGACATCAGCCCCGCGCGACCCTGGAGGCCGAGCTTCCTGCAACTGGTTTCGAAGAACTTAGGATCTGAGACCGGAGATTCCCTCCAGAGTTTTTCCCAGAAAGCTGAGCCCAAGACTCCCGGGACTGGAGAAACGTGGGATACGGACTCCTAGAGCTCCATCCAGCCCGTTTGGGGCTGAAGCGCCCACTACTTAAAGAGAACCCTGGAATTTGGGACTCTGCGCTACCGTCTGGAAATAGTTTAACCCCTGCTTTTAGAGTTAGGGAACTCAGGAATCCAGCCCTCCCCCCACCCCACGACCCTGTCTGGAAGACTCAGGAATTTGGGTTCCCAGCACCCCCATCTGAGACTCGAGCGTCGAGGCTCCCAGCATCTTCCGTTTAGAGGACGAAAGAAATCTGAACCACTGCGCCCGGTTTTCCGAGAGACCCTGGATTCTGGTTCCCGGAGCCGGAGAGCCCGAAGTTCACACCCCTGACTTGCAGAGACCCGAGAGTGCCTGCTCTGCGCCTCCCCGGGGACCGTGCTAGGGTCAAATAGGAACCGGGCTGCCTCGGTTCGGGGCTGGAGACTCCCGGGGAGGTGAGGGGGGAGGCGAGGGGCCCCGAAGGGCTGGGGGAGGGGGCGGCGCCGCAGCCGCTGAACAATGAGGGGGCGTGCCGGCGGGGGGCGAGCGGAGGCGCCGGCGGGAGTTGGGGGCTAGAGGGCTGTGGGGAGGCGCTGCGGTGGTGGGAACAGTGAGCGGATCTCAGAGGGACTTGACTGGAAGGGGTCGAGGACTCAGGGCCAGCGCCCCGACTCGCAGCGCTCCGTGGGGGAGGAAGCCGTCTGCAGGACCCTGGCATCCGGTCCCCCAGCCTCCTCCGCCCTCCCCTGGGACCCCGCGGCCTCCCGCCCACGGCTTTTTCCCAGCCCTGCCCCTCGCCCTCGGCTCCAACCGGAGCCCAGACGTTCCCAGGATCCCTGAGCCTCCGGCCCCAAACACACCAGACTCACAGCTTGGGCGACTCTTGTTCGCTTTACTCTTCTTTGTTTCACCCTTTCCGTTTTTTTTCTGTGTTATCTCTTCTTGCTCCCCTTTTTCTATCACTTTGCGACTGTCTCCCCCATTAGTTACTCCCAGCGCCCCCTCCCTGGATTCAGACCATCCTCCTAATCCTCAGCCCCCAGTCTGTGAGTCGGGGGTGGGGGCGGTGTGGAGGCAGGAAAGTCTATGGGGTCCTGGTATCCCAGAAGGGGGTCTTTCTGCAGAAGCCGCTGAGCCACTCAGCCATGCCCGAGGGAGCCCGTGGACTGGGCCTGTCCAAACCCAGCCCTAGCCTCGGCCACAGAGGTGAAGTGTGTGACTGTGCGGCTGTGTGTGACACTCGGACAGGTGAGCGGGCGAGGGAGGGGTGGAGCCTGCTGGGCATTCATTTTTTCATTCAAGACCCTGCAGCCTCCCAGGCTGACCCAGTGCAGGCAACACAGGCTGACCAGGACAACCCCGGCCCTCCTGCACAGAGCTCCAGGTCCGGTAGGGAAAGGGACTCATCTTGAGGCCCTGAGGGAAGCCCAGCACACAGTGGTCAGGGCTGGGTGGGATGGGGAGAGCTCAGAGGGCCGTGGGAACCCTGTCTGGGAGATCAAGGGAGGCTTCCTGGAGGAGGGGGGTATCTAAACTGAGTTGAAAGATCAGGCGGGGTGAACTGAGAGAGGCCAGGTATCTAAACTGAGAGTTGAAAGATGAGGCGGGGTGAACTGAGAGAGGCCAGGAAGAGTGTTCTGCGCAGGGGCACAGAGGTGAGAAGAGGCTGCTTATTTGAGTAACCAAGAGAAGCTGAGTGTGCCTGGAGCCCGAAGGGTAAGAAGTGGTGTGTCTTGGGAAGAGAACACACTGGAAAGATCTCTAATGGCCACCGTGCACAGGGCCCTTTGGATCTCAGGAGTTTGGACTTTACCCTGAGGGCAGGAGTGGGATTATCCTCGTGAGAGTAAGAGAGTCAGGCTAAATAATAAAGTTCTCCCAGGATGACACATGGAGGTAGATTCAAGGAACGGGGGCCAGCAGTTCGGAGAGGACAGGGCTGATTAGAGGAGAAGGGAGCCCTGGGAGAGATGTTGATCAGGGGTGGGTGAGTGTGGGGGCTGAGCACACTTAATCAGTTGGGGAACCCCCCTGATGGCTTCTTCCACAACCCCAGCAGCCCCTGCCACCCCTGCCATGACCTCCCCCCGAGGGTCTGGGAGCTCCACGTCCTTGAGCACTGTGGGCTCCGAGGGGGACCCGGCTCCGGGCCCCACCCCAGCCTGCTCAGCCTCGAGGCCAGAGCCCCTTCCAGGGCCCCCCATCCGCCTGCATCTGTCACCTGTGGGGACCCCGGGTTCTGCGAAACCCTCGAGGCTGGAGCGTGTGGCCCGTGAGATCGTGGAGACAGAGCGGGCCTACGTCCGGGACCTCCGAAGCATCGTGGAGGTGAGGCGGGTGGGCACCCCAGTGCCGTGGGGACCTGGGCCAGCCCCTCTACCCTCATAACCCCAGTCATCCCCACAGGACTACCTGGGCCCTCTGCTGGATGGCGGGGTCCTGGGGCTGAGTGCGGAGCAGGTGGGCACGCTGTTTGCCAACATCGAGGACATCTACGAGTTCAGCAGGTCAGGGACGGGTGGGGTGGGCAGGGGAGTGGGCTAGGGAGCTCAGGGAGACAGGCTGTGTTCTAACTCAAACCTTGGCGCCCAGCAGTGCCCTGTCCAGACTGGAACATGGGGTCTTATGATATTGGGCAGGGATCACGATGGGGAGTGAGGACCCAGATGAGGTCCAAATATTAGGATGGATCCGGGCAATGAGATGGGGCTAGCGCCATGTCAGGTCACGGATTGCAGTGAATCAGAGACTCCTGTGGGGCCTGAGGATCATGACAGTGTGAGCATTTGTGTGACTCGTCCTGGGAAACCCTGCAGTCCCAGACCAACCAGGATGGTTGGCCCCCCAGTGAGAAGGGTGCTGGAGTTTAAGGAGGGCATGACACCTCCATGTCTTGATGACACTTTTCAGTCGCTCCGTCGTGTCCAACGCTTTGCGACCGCGTGAACTGCAGCACACCAGGCTTTCCTGTGCTTCACCATCTCCCGGAGCTTGGTCAAACTCATATCCACTGAGTCGGTGATGCCATCCAGCCATCTCATCCTCTGATGATGCTTAATTACACTTTGTTTTTTTGGCCTCACCGCTTGGATTTCGGGATCTTAGTTCTCCAACCAGGAACTGAACCTGGATCCAGCAGTGAAAGCCCCAAGTTCTAACCACTGGACCACCAGGGAATTCTCTTAATTACACGTAAAGTTCTTGCGGGAGGTTTGTGAGTCACAACAAGTTTTCAGGATCACAATAGGATCTTAAGATTATCACAGCTCTAAGGGTCCTGACACCCGTCTCCCAGGCTGTGCCCCATGAGATCCCCAAGGCTCATGCTGCCTGTGACAAGATCTCAGGCTGAGGAACATGATGCTGCCCAAGGACAGCATCTGAGAAGGTTGCGACCTCCCACGTCGCAAGCAGAGGACCCTGCATGTGGATATGACATCCCATCTGGCAGCCCACCGAGGCCCAACCTCCTGGTGTCCTCACAGGGTGGCAGTGTGGGGGCAGGGTGGTCCTTCACCCTTTCTCTCTGCCCCTCCCCAGTGAGCTTCTGGAAGACCTGGAAGGCAGCAGCAGCGCCGGGGGCATCGCCGAGTGCTTTGTGCAGAGGGTGAGGCAAGGGCCTGGGCTGGGGCCTGGGGAAGTGGGGTGGGGAGGAAGGGGAGCAGGTCTGGGCTAGGCTACTGGGGAGGGGTCATGAGGAGCTGGGCACAGGTCTCCCTGACTCCCTTGTCACCCACAGAGCGAGGATTTCGACATCTACACGTTGTACTGCATGAACTACCCGAGGTGAGGGCCAAGGAGCACCTGCTGGGCCCAGGCTGTGCCCCACAAGCTGATGTGCGCTAGCTGAGTTCCTCCTACCCGACCCAGTCAGTTCCCAGCCCTGCCAGACCGTGACCATGTCCCCCTTCTCCCTAAGCCCAGGGAGCCCCTGAGAGTTCCCAAACCCTGGTCACTCCCTGACCCCTCCCAGCCTGACCCACTGTAGCTGCCCATCCCCCTAACCTATGCTGTGTCCCCAGCTCCCTGGCCCTACTCCGGGAGCTGTCACTGTCCCCGCCAGCAGCCATGTGGTTGCAAGAGCGCCAGGCCCAGCTCCATCACTCGCTGCCCCTGCAGAGCTTCCTGTTGAAGCCCGTCCAGCGCATCCTCAAGTACCATCTGCTGCTGCAGGTCAGCTGTGGGCCCCCGGGGGGCTGCCTGGGGAGGGGCGAGGTCCTGTCCATTGGCCACCTGGTGGTGCATCTGGAGTGTGGACCCTGGAAAAGCTGGGCCAGGACTGGAGAGGCCTCTGGTCCCTAGAAACTGGGCCAGCTCTGGGGCAGTGTCTTGTTAGCAGTGGGGGCTGGCGCCAGCTGACTTCACTTCCTGTCTTTGCTTGCTTGTCTCCGTCTCTGGCTCTCCGTCTCTGCCCCTGCCTTTCTCTCTCTCTTTCTCTTGTCACCCTTCCTTTGTTCGTCTTCCTCTCCCTGGGCGCCTGCCCTCCAGGAGCTGGGCAAGCACTGGGCGGAGGGCCCGGATGCCGGGGGCCGTGAGATGGTGGAGGAGGCTATTGTGTCCATGACAGCGGTCGCCTGGTACATCAATGACATGAAACGCAAGCAGGAGCATGCTGCGCGGCTCCAGGTGACCCTGGGGGAGGGCCAGGACCTGCCGTGGGTGGTGGGGGCGTTGTGGACATGAGGGCCTCCGGTCGGGGGTCGGTCAGAACCTTGGAGGGCCGGCTGGGACAGCACGGTCTGCTTGCTAACCGCCCTGTCTTGATGTGTGTGCACTGCCCGCTGCTGTGTTCTTGGGGTCCCGGCAGGAGGTGCAGCGGCGGCTGGGCGGCTGGACTGGTCCGGACCTCAGCGCTTTTGGGGAGCTAGTGCTGGAGGGCGCATTCCGAGGTGGTGGAGGGAGCGGCCCTCGGCTTCGAGGGGGTGAACGGCTGCTCTTTCTGTTCTCACGGATGCTGCTCGTGGCCAAGCGCCGGGGACCGGAATACACCTACAAGGGCCACATCTTCGTGAGTTCAGGGATGGGGGCAGGGCCAAAATATTACCTGCCAGGTGTATTCTGTACAGAGCTGTAGAGCCAAAGGCATGGCTGGGGGCAGGGTATACATGGGTGGGCAACTCGCTTCAAAGGACCATGTTTCCTTGAGTCGAGGAGCGGGGTAGGGTTTAATAAGGAGGGGCGGGCAGGGTCAGAGGTATGCAGAGGTGATGCGGACCTGGAAGGGGAGGACCTAGATTTGCCCACCAGGCAAGCATCTACACTGTCCTGCAGTTGCATCTTCTTGATCCAGATGAGCGTGGGAGGACTGGTGAGGGAGAGCTGAGCCTGGCCTGGTGGGGAGAGTTGACAGGGGGAAGGGGACATCGTTTATTTATTTATGGATGCACTAGGTCTTGTTTACTATGAGGGCTTTTGTCTAGTTGAGGCACGCTGGCTTCTTCTGTTGTGGAGTACAGGCTCTAGGGTGCGTGGGCTTCAGTAGTTGTGGCATGTGAACTCACTAGTTGTGGCTTGCAGGCTCCAGAGCTCAGGCTTAATAGTTGTGGCGCAGGGGCTGTTCCGTGGCATGTGGGATCTTCCCTGATGCGGGATCAAACTCAGGTCTCCTGCACTGGCCTGCGATTCTTTACCACTGGGCCAGCAGGGAAACTTGAAAGGGGACATCTTCTAGAAGGAGGGGACTCAGATACACTTGAGGGGTACAAGGATGAGTCTGAGACCTCTCTCTGCTCCTCACCCAGTGCTGCAACCTGAGTGTGAGCGAGAACCCTCGAGACCCTCTGGGGTTCAAGGTGTCTGATCTGACCATTCCCAAGCACAGGCACCTGCTCCAGGTGAGCACAGGGTGGGACTGGGCAGGCAGGGATGTCCCACCCCCAAGTCCCTAAACCTCACACCTGGCTCCCCATTCCACCCCCACCCCACCCCCACCCCCAGGCCAAGAACCAAGAAGAGAAAAGGCTGTGGATTCACTGTCTCCAGCGCCTCTTCTTTGAAAACCACCCCGCCTCCATCCCTGCCAAGGTACAGCTCCTGCCACCGCTGGGGGGTCCTCAGGGTTCTGGGGACCCATGCATGCACGCTCTGTCATGTCCAACTCTTTGTGACCCCCCCTGAACTATAGCTTACCAGGTTCCTCTGTCCATGGGATTTCCCAATCAGGAATACTGGAGTGGGCTGCCATCTCTAAGGGATCTTCCCGACCCAAGGGTTGAACGTGCGTCTCTTTGCATCTTCTGCATGGGCAGGAAGATTCTTTTACCACTGCGCCACTTGGGAAGCACCCCCCACTCAATAGCATTGAAAGACCCTGAGTGCCAGGGACGGGGTTGGGGCGCTGTCTTAGAACATGGTAGTTACATTCAACGTTGGGTTGTCTGGGTTTCAATCTCAGTTCCACAATATCCCTGCTATGTGATTCTGGGCAAGTAACTTAACCTCTCTGGCTTCAGCTTCCTCACCTGGAGGAATAATAGCACCAACTTCATAGGGTGGTGGGGAGGCTTAGTATCAGTTGTGTAAGGCCCCTGACAGGTAGCAGCACCCTTTTATCAGACCGAGCCTGGGGTTCTCAGGGCCCAGCCCCCTCAACCCTCATGCTTATCTTTTTCAGGCAAAACAAGTCCTCCTTGAAAACAGCCTGCACTGTGAGTCGGGACCTCGGGTTGGGAGGATGTGACAGTAGAAGAATCGCTTCAAAAAAAAAGTAGATTATTAGCCCCAAATCTCTCCCTGTAGGTGCTCCTAAAAGCAAGCCTATCCCAGAGCCCCTTACACCCCCACTTGGGTCTCCCCGACCTCGAGATGCTAGAAGTTTCACTCCTGGACGAAGGAACACAGGTAAAGGAGATGGAACCCTGAGGTTGCTCCTCATCCCTCTCCCAGGAACCTGGAGTGGGGGTCCTAACAGGGTTCCGATCTACCTCTCCCCACAGCTCCATCACCAGGACCCGCCACTACCCGTCGTGGCCGCAGACAGTCTGGTGAGTACCCTTCCCTAAAAGTGAACTTGGTGTCAGGTGGGGGAGCAGGCCCTGACATCATTGTATCTTCCCCTCAGAGCCTCTGAAGGACCTTTATGTCATGTTCCCACACGATGGTGAGTGACTGCCCATCCCAGCCTGCTGCGTCCCTGTGTGTTCCCTGGGACTCCCGGGCGTCGCGAGGGAGGGGTGAGGGCCACTCATCAATGATAAGGAATAACACTTGTTCCTACATCTCACTCTTTCCTCTTTCTCATCTCTTCCTCCCCAGCTAAGCCTAGACTCAAGGTGAGAAACATTCTGGGGCCCGGACTCCTGGGTCTACTGGGGGAGGGAGCTTGAGTTCCCAAGTCCCGGGTCTGAAGAAGGTGACAGGGCCTGGATTCCCCATCCTCTGAGGGAGGAGGGGATTGGGGCCCCCAGATTCCCACCCTCCTTCCTTGCCTTCCTCACAGCATGCCGGCAGTGCGGGGGAGCTCTACCCGCCCCTGGAGCCTCAGCCACCAGGTCCCACTTCTGGACCCCCTGAGGACCTGGAGGACACAGGACCCCCCACACTGGACCCTTCTGGGACCTCAATCACTGAAGAAATCCTGGAGCTCCTGAACCAAAGAGGCCTCCGGGACCCGGGGGTGAGCCAGGCATCCCCTCCCAGTGTCCTTGGGGCTCCAGGCCTAGGTGGGCACAGCCTGGGATTCAGGGGGCCACCCCACCCTGACACCTTTTGGCTTCCTCAGGGCCCACTACAGCCACCCCCCGATGATGTTCCCAAGTTCCCCGGAGACTCCCAAGTGCCAAGCGACAGTGATACCCTCACATTCCAAGGCCTGCCCAGCCGAGACTCTTCAGAAGAGGAGGAGGAAGAACTGGACATGGACGAACGGGAGCCTTCCCCACTCCACGTCCTGGAGGGGCTCGAAGGTTCCAGTGCGGCTGAAATTGCCGACATTCCCAGCCTTTCCAAAAGCCCCGACAGACCCAGCCTCCCTGAAATGCCCAACCTTTCTGAAATTCCCCAGATGCCACGCCTCCCCAGCCTCTCTGACATTTCCAGTGTTTTTGAAATGCCCTGCCTTCCAGCCATTCCTAGCATCCCCGACATTCCTAGTCTTTCCAGCGCTGCCCCCCCGCTCCCCTGTGACTCCTGGCTCCAGGGACCCCCGCAGGAGCTGAATGAGACTCTAGCCACCCGGAGGGAACTTTTCCCTGGAAGCACTTCTGGAAAACTGGGCGAGCCCTCCTCAGAAGGCAGGGCAGGGCGAGAAGAGGATGAAGGAGGATCATTCCCAGAATTCCAGCCCCCAGATGTCACCCGGGATCAGGGATTCTCACATGAGCTGGAGTTCCGCTCTTGCTCTGAAATCCGGAGCGCCTGGCGGGCCCTGGAGCAAGGGCAGCTGGCCCGGCCGGGTTTTCCTGAGCCACTGCTGATCCTGGAAGACTCGGACCTGAGTGGAGGCGGTAGCAGTGGAGGAGGGAAGGCAGGAGTCCCGACTTCAGAGAGGTCAGCATCCCGAGTGCGAGAGCTGGCCCGGCTTTACAGCGAGCGAATCCAGCACATGCAGCGGGCCGAGACCCGGGCATCAGCCAACGCCCCCCGCCGCAGGCCTCGGGCTCTGGCCCAGCCACAGCTGTTACCCGGCCTGCCCCAGGAGCAGGCTGAGCCAGGTGAGGTCCAGGTATGTGGTGGGCAGAGGTGGCCCCACCTGGGGGATCCGTCCTAACTCGTCCCATCTGTCTTTGCATGCAGGACCCCTGCCTGCCTTTGGACACGTGCTGGTGTGTGAGCTGGCCTTCCCTCTGACCTGTGCCCAGGAATCTGTCCCCCTCAGCCCTGCTGCGCGGGTTCAAGCTGCCACCCCTTTGACTAAGCTGGGAGGCTGCCAGGACAGCCAGGGTCTACATGTTTCAAGTTTGCCTGAGCAAGGCCATCTGAGCCTCCAGGTTCCAGCTGCTACCCCCCTGCCTGAGCAAGGAAGCCTCTGGAATACCCAGATTCCAGCCACCACAACTTTGCTGGAGCAGGATGACCCCCCAGGCAGCCAAGCTGCAGCTGTTACAATTTTGCCAGATCAAGGCCACCTGGAAATCCAAGTTCCAGCTGCCATTCCTTTACAGGAGCATAGAGACCACGTGGATACTCAGGTTCCTTCTAGCACCTCATCTCCTGAGCAAGGAGGCCACGCGGACATCCAGCTTCCCACCAACCCAGCTTCACCGAAGCGGGGAAGTTCTTCTGATGTCATGGTTTCAGCCACCAGTCCTGCACCCAAGCGAGAAGGCTGCCGGGACAGCCAGAGCCCAACCAACACCCTGGCAACTGAGCCAGGAGGCTCCAGGGGCATTCAATCCCCAGCCACTGCCTGTGGGCCAGCCGTCGATCCTTTGCTTATATGCAGAAGCAGCCTGGACCCTCAGATCCCAGCTGACACCCCACTGCCTTTGCAGCATGACCTCCCAGACATTCAGGTTCCGGGTACCTCACCTTTGCCTGTACACGGAGGCCACTTGGACCGTCAGATCCCAGCTGATGCCCCGCTGTCTTTGCCCCAGGACCACCCAGACTTTCAGGTTCCAGCTGCCACACCTTTGCCCCAGACAGCAGGCCTCACAGACGCCCAGCTCCAAGCCTTCCCGCCTTTGCCCCAGCAGGGAGGCCTCCGATACAGCCAGGGTCGTGCCGCTGCACCTTGGCTTCAGGAACAAAGCCTCACAGACCTCCAGGTTCAGAAGCTGACACCTTTGTTGGAACAGAAGGGCCTCACGAATGACCAGATTCCAGCCGCCACGCCTTTGCCTGAGCAAGGAGGCCCTACGGACACTCAGGGCCCATTACCCACCCCAGTCCAGACCACCGTGCTTTTGGCCAAACAAGGTCACTCGGTCTCTCACGCTGCCAGACCAGAGTCTTCAGACTTGACCCCACCCCACAGTCCCCCACCCCCGACACGGAAGCTCCTGGGCCCCAGTGCGGCCGCCCTTTCAAGATACCTGGCAGCTTCATACATCAGCCAGAGCCTGGCTCGGCGACAGGGGCCTGGAGGAGAGGCTCCCTCAGCCTCCCGGGGCCCTTGGTCCTCTGCCCCCACGTCACGGGCACCTTCACCGCCACCCCAGCCCCAACCCCCACCACCCCCAGCCCGGAGGCTCAGCTATGCCACTACGGTCAACATCCATGTCGGAGGTGGCGGGCGGCTACGGCCAGCCAAGGCCCAGGTCAGGTTGAACCATCCTGCTCTCTTGGCAACTCCCCAAGAATCTGTGGGTCTCCGCAAAGCCCAGGGGGGCCCCGATGCCCCTTTCCACATGTGAGTGAGGATGTCAGTGTGAGTCAGGATGTCAGGCTCCTTGAAAAGCAAAGACTTCAACCAGATGCCAGAGACCTTCAGAATTCACCCAGAAGTCCAGACACTGAACACAGGTCTAAAAATTGCCACAGCTTTCTGACTCCTGGAATCTTTGGCGAATGGTCCTTGTTACTTACCTGGATTAACCCAACAGGGATGGGGAAGGGGGTGTCATTAATATTTTGTTAACTAATACTATGGAATTATGTATCTTTTCCCATTCTGGAGGCAGTGAGGATGACAGAAGGCAACAATGAATAGGAAGGTCTGATACTGCACAAATCAGTTGTTCTGAAAATTTGGGGAATCTCAGACTCCTTTGAGAATTACTGAAAACTGGACCCATTACAGTTGGGTGTGAGTTTAGAGGGTTTATAAACTGCTTGATGCCTAACCAGGAAAGCTAAGTTAAGAAGTGCCCCTCCAACCCCCAAAAATGTTTTTCCCAAGCAAATCCCTTGAAATTCCTTCCCTCAGCAATTCAGTTTGTGTCCCACCATCATCCATTCATCTCATCTTCATAGCCAATTCTATCCACTCAGCTGTCTCTCTATCATCTCCCTCTCTGTCCATCTGTCTTCAAATCCATTATCCTACCCATGCTGCTGCTAAGTCACTTCAGTCGTGTCTGAGTCTGTGCAACCCCACAGACAGCAGCCCACCAGGCTCCCCTGTCCCTGGGATTCTCCAGGCAAGAACAGTGGAGTGGGTTGCCATTTCCTTCTCCAACACATAAAAGTGAAAGGGAAGTCATTCAGTCGTGTCCGACTCTTAGCAACCCCATGGACTACAGCCTACCAGGCTCCTCCATCCATGGGATTTTCCAGGCAAGAGTACTGGAGTGGGGTGCCATTGCCTTCTCCGATCCTACCCATAGACTTGCTTTATTCAGCTGTCCACTCTTTTCAGCCATCATCCTACCCCACCCCTCATCTAGCACCCATTCCTCCATAAATCTACTCATCCATTATCCCACCTGTCTGCCTTCTCCAGCCAACTCTATTCATCCATTCGTCCCTCCATGTTCCCATTGCTGTCTGTCCATTCACACATTTCATCATTCAGTCATCTCCTAATCCATCAAGCCAAGCAGCCATTTAACCATCTCTACCACCAGCCTGGTAGGCTTCAGTCCATGGGGTCACAGAGTCAGACACGACTGAGCGACTTCACTTTCACCACCAGGCCAGCCAGCCATTTTAATCTCTTTCAATCCATCCTTCCTTACCTGGATTCTTCTGGGTCTTGGTACTACAAAACTTCAGAGATAGTTCCATGCTAACACCAGAATGGATTGGGTTTGGGATTCTGGGAAGTGTCCCATCTCTACCTGATTTCTCTTGGCAACCACCCTCTACCCTCCTAAGTATTCCAGTTCTATACCCACCCATCCAGTTCTTGTATTGATCCTTTTACCCAGCCTCTCTCTAGTTGGGGGACCTCTACAGAACCCTCACCTCCAAAGGTCATTCAGGTCTTAAGAGACAAAGGCTTTTATTCTAAGATTGTTCTATCACCCTCACAGCAGTGCAAGGTCCAGTAAGCAGCACAGTTTAAGTTTCTTTGGTAATGCTAGCTTCTTTGATTGAGCACTTAACCTCTTATGCTCTAGATCTTACTCAGTCTTCCCTGGAATTCTCTTGAAACACCACAGCATTATGGCTGAGTTGAAGCCCCAGCTTTTCTAGTACTCACTGTGGAACTCCACTCCCCTCCCCAGCCTGGTTTCCTCATCTGTATGATGAGGACAACAGTATCCGCCTTTATGGGATCATCATAAAGATTCAGTGAGCATATCCTTACTTCCCAAACGTGTTTAAGCCTGATTCTTTACCAACTGAGCTATGAGGGAAGCCCCCTGACTTACTAAGGCCCTGATCAAATCAGATGCCCCAGGATACAGTCCCAACCCATGAAATCAGAACCTTCAAGGCAGGAGCCCAAGAATCTGGTTTTAACAATCAGTTAACAACAGCAAAAAATGCTGTTATTGAGTTCTAAACTGCATACCACAGGCATTAGTCACTATTTCAGCTCATATCCCTTTGAGTCCTCAGTATCCCTAACAGGCAAGTGAGGATCTGTAATCCCCACTTTAGAGATGAGGAAACTCAGGCAGAGAGGATACTTGCCCAGTCACGTGAGTGGGAAGGAGCAGAGATGGGATTCAGCCACAGCCAAGCCTGAGTCAGCACTCTTGACTGTCTTTGTCAGGCGCTATTCTTGTCACTCCAGTATTCTTGCCTGGAGGATCCCATAGACAGAAGAGCCTGGCGGGCTACAGTCCATGGGATTGCAGAGTCAGACACGACTGAGCTACTTCACTTTTTCTATTCTTGCCAGTGAGGGTACAACAGGGAACAACCCCTTGCCCACAGGAGGCTTGAAGCCTGGTACTCCAAAGGCCCTAGGTAATGATTATTAGCTAGATAAAGTGAACAAGGCCTGGGTCAGGAAATGTTGGCTGCTGGCTTCCACTCAGTTATTGGAGTGGGTACCATGCCATACGCCAGGGCATGGGCTGAGTCGGACTCCTTGGCCTGGATCTGTTCCACTGCAGCCTCCCAAAGGTCAGGACTGAGGCTGGCCCTCCCCACTTCCGCCCCCAGCTGCACATTCCCAGCTTAAGGAAAGTTCCCAGCCTGGCCCAGGCTCCCAGCGGCGCCGGAATTCCCGGTATTTGAGGAGGCGGCAGCAGGGAGGGTGAAGGGGGCTGTCTACGCCAAGGCCTGCAGTGAGGAAGGAGGCGAGCCCCCTTGGCCACTTCCAGATGTGTCCCAGCTGTGCCTCTGGGAGGGAGCCAGGAGCCTCAAATTAAGGGGTCTTTGGGCCCTGTGGGAAAACCCTGGGTACTAGGCCTGCCTTGGCCCCTCCTGGTCCCTGCCCCCAAATTCCATCCCTCCTGCCTGCCTGCCCAACTCCTACCTCTGCTTCATGGCCCCAGCTCCAACGCCTCCTCATGAATACCTTTCTTGCTGGTCTACTACAGCCTGCCTTTTGTAAACTGTAATTAAGACAGGCTTAAAGAGGGAAAGTAAGGTCAGCTGTCTGTGGCATGACAGCCTTGGGACAGTGCTGCCCTCCTGGGGATGTTTAGGTAATGCCAGTGAAACCCAGTTTAGTAGTCATTAGTAATTCCAGCTTCAATGCAAAACTTGGTGAGGTGGTTATTTTGCCACTACGCTAACTTTCTCAGCAGCTAAGGTGAAGATACCTGCCTGCTACCCACCTCACAGAGATGGTGTGAGGACAATCCAACAATACTGACCCTGGCGCATAGTGGAGCTCCACCAACCCCACCTCTGTGTGTACTAACTCTATTTTCTGTACCTGAGTACCATCCCACAGGATTGTCCTGTCAGTAAACAACGTTCTCATCAGTGCAGCCCAGCTTCACGGCCACATGTGGCTACTGTTTCATCAGTAGGGCAAACATACAAAAAGGACAAGTCAGTAAATCCCAAGTTCCTTTAAAAAAAAAATAGTAAAACTTTCCCAGTTTTTATTTTTGACAGTGCCGGGTCTTCATTGCCGCACAGGCTTTCTCTAGTTGCGGAGAGCGGGGGCTACTCTCGAGTTGGAGTGCACGGGCTCTAGTTGCGGCTCACAGGCTCCAGAGCTCTGGCACACACTTAGTTGCTCCACCCCATGTGAGATCTTCAGGGCATCAAAACCCGGGTCTCCTGCATTGGCAGGTGGATTCTTTACCAGAGCCGCTAGGGAAGCCCTCCCAAGTTCCTTTTATAAACAAAATCTGTGAAACTACTCCTTGATCAAGTGTCTAATGATGGTTCTTACCAGTTTGCTCAGCAGGAAGTAGTGAGGAAGGCCACCTGGGGGCAGATCGCTGGCTGCAAAGGCTGTTATAGAAGGACAGATGCCCTTCCCACCCCAGTGATGCTCACTAGCTTCCTTTAAATATGGGAAAGGAAACTGAGAACAACTTAATTCACAAACAACACTTTACTTCCTATACATACACCAGCACCATCCCACAGAACTTTCCTCCATGATGGAAGTGCTCTAGCCCAGGGGCAGCAACTGAGTTCATCTACGTCAGCTCTTTTCATCACGTGGCAGACACAAGAGATGAGCATGTCCTCAGACCTATGTATTCCCGGGCCCATAAGGACAGTCACGTTGAGCATAACTGGGACTTGCTTTAAGGAGGCCATGGGAAGTGGGGGTCACAATCAACATCCTGAAGGATGAAACCCGTCAAGGGAAATCATGCACCCACCCACAACGGGGATTACAGACCCCTGCCCAACCCCAATCCTATCTACACTACAGGTTGGCATTAAAAAATTTCCTTTCCCAACACATGCATAGATGGCCCTTAGCTGCTGACTTAAGACCTCGCCTCACTTTGTATTAAAGATTACTGATCTTACACATTTCCCCTGCTCTTCTGATACGCCATTAAAACAGCAAAAGGACTGAAAGAGATAAAACCCACAAGGACACTCACACAACCAATGACCAGGAACCACGCCCACCGAGCTGTGTTCACACACTGGAAGTTCAGAGAAACTGAGACCAGATCTGGTCCCACCCACCTCTCCTACCCACATCCTAATCAGAGTGGTAGCTTCTAGAAAGGCTTCTTGGTGTGTTTCTTGCATTCCTTTTAGACAAAGACCCACCACGGAAGACCACAGCATAGTTCCTGAAACCTTAAATCCCACAACATTTATTATAAAGGTGCTATACAGGGAAACCCTGATCTTCATGATGGGCTTATCGGTAGGATTTCTGGTAGCGGGCACGGGCACCAGGACCTCCAAACTTTTTGGATTCGCAGCGACGGGGATCGGCTACCAGCAGGGTCCGGTCATACTGGATGAGGATGTCTTTGATCTCCTTCTTGGAAGCCTCATCCACATCTGGGGGTGAAAGGATGGGAGAAGATTTAGACGCCAGCAAGTGCCCTCCCACTCTTTGTGGCTAAATGCGAGCCCTTGACATGCCCCCACCCACCTGCTGGGAAGGACCCACCCTCACTCACATTTCTGGTAATAGGCCACCAAGGCTTTGGAGATGGACTGGCGGATGGCTGTGAGGAAGACAGACAAAAGGCACATCAGCTTTATGAGCACCCAGGGGTGGGACCCTGCCCTCAGACCCACCTTCCACCTATGTGCCCAGTGTTCGGGACTCACCGTAAATCTGGGCTACGTGACCACCACCCTTCACTCGGACGCGGATGTCCACACCAGCAAATCGCTCCTTGCCCAGGAGCAGAACAGGTTCCAGTAACTAGGGTAACAGGAAACATTACAGGATCTTAGATCACAACCTGCCATTGAGCCAACTCACGGAACATTCCTCCACAGCTCTCTACAAGTAGCTCTTGCCACTGCTGGCCTCAAAGTATTAGTGGAAGAGGGTTGGGCTGTTACTCAAAGCCCCCTATACACAGCCAGCAGAGCAGGATGATTTCTAAGACAGAAGAGTTTGTTGAAGTCAAACTGAATCCTGCCTGAGCGGTTCCTCCTCCTGTGTTTCTCTCTGGACATCAGACCACCTATTTTTTAAACCTGATTCTTAGAATGTGGGCACCTTAGCCCAATAGTAAGGAAAATCTCTGCAGCCCCAAGCCTGCCCCAAATGGTGAAAAAACCATTCCTGGGCTATGTCAGGTGCTTTCCCCACCTGAGCTCTCTGCTCTCCCTTTGCACCGCACACATTTCCAGAAAAATTACAATGCGATAACCCTACTTTGATTTACCTACTTTAGGCCTCAGCTCACAAGTCCCCCCAACCCCTGCTCTGACCCTTCCACCTGAGTTTGAGTCAGAAACCTTCTCTGGGAACCTCTACCCCAGTTCTGACAGTCTGGGAGCAGTGTCTGGTATTGGGTCCAGTCTGTGTCCCCCACTGGATTCGAAGCTCTAGGAGAGCAGGCCCTGGAACCATCCAGGTCACTGCTTTGTTGCCAGCACTCCATACAGGATGCACACACAAAGCCTTTGAGTAAACTGTCAGTGACAATAAGCCACGATATTCATTTACCTGCTCTACAAAACAGTCTCAGACATTGTAAAGTTCTAACTAGCCCTGCAATGTAAACAGTTCTTCACCTTCTCACACACGCCAACAACCTCACACAGAGAATCCAATTTACCCTCTCGACAACCCTTCAAGGAACAACCTATTTCCATTTTACAAAGAAGGGAAGTTACTGCCCCAAATAACACAGCTAGAAGAGGCAGAAATCAAATTCAGACATCTTTCCAGTCTGAGCCAAAGAAACTGAGGCGTTCCAATAAAACTTTATTCAGGAAAGAAAAAAAAAAACTCAGGCTTAAACGGGGAGGGCAGAGGAACTCCTTTCACAGCCAAGTACTACAAACCCAACTTCTGTTCTTGTTCTTCTAATGCTTATTGAGCACCTACAATATTCAAAACCTTATTTTAGTCACAATGTTTGAGGGGCAAACAGTGATTCCTGTCCTCAGAGTGCGCAGACTACTGTAAAACATCCCCAGTTAACTTACTGCACGTCATCAAGCCCCATAAGCTTTGGGAGCCCCCATGCCGCCTCGTCCCAAAGGAGTGACTTTCCAAACAACCCAGTTAAGCACCTGCTTATCCTTCAACATCCACGTTTCCACTCTCAATTCAAGCTTTCATAATATCGCCTGAACCCTCAACACCCAGCTCCATCGTCAAATATCCCATTTTTCTATTCCCAACTCAGCTTCTGAACGTCCCACTCTTGACACCAGACCTTTCAGTTTCCAAAATCGAGAAACTTCAGGTACCCATTTATTTCAACATCTCCGTCTCCAGAGCCCTCCACTCAACCCAAACGCCCGTCTTCAATCCCAGCACCTTGTATTGCAGCGTGCGCGGTTCGATCATCTCCAGGGGTCGTCCGTTCACCTTGATGAGGCCGTTACCTCGTTTGCAGTGAGCCACGGCGGTGGCCGTCTTCTGTGGAAAGCGAGGGGGAGAGAGCGGAGCCACGTGAGCTCTGGGCCTCGGGTCCCAAATAGACTCCAGATTCCTGCCCACAGACTTCTCTCCGACACGGGCTTCCCCTCGTCCCTACCATCGGGCGCCCGTCTCACCTTGCGTCCGAAGACTTGCACTGACTGCAGAGGGCCCTTGGACGGCATGGCTGCAGACGTAGAAAAGAGATCCTCACCGCTCGGGGCCGCAACCGGAAAAGGAAAGCGCGGGGCCACCCTGGCCACTTTTCAGGGTCTGCGCAGGCGCGTTGTGCTCAGCGTTGCGACGGGACAGAACTTTACGGCTTGTGGGCGGGACTTTGGGTTGGCGGCCGGAAGGTGGGTCCGGGGAGCGGAGGGGGCGGGACCGGGAATGGAAGGGACTGGCCTGAACGGGGTCGGGGGCTGGCCTGGAAGGGCCAGTTGTACAGTCACTCAGTCGTGTCCGACTTTTGGGACCAAGTGGACTGCAGCCCGCCAGGCTTCCATGTCTTTCACTATCTCCCGGAGTTTGTTTAAACTCGTGTTCATTGAGGCGGTGATCCCATTCAACCATCTCATCCTCTGTCGCATCCTTCTCCTGCCTTCAATCTTTCCTAGTATCAGGGCCTTCTCTAATGAGTCGGCTCTTCGCATCAGGTGGCCAAAGTATTGGAGCTTCAGCTACGGCATCAGTCTTTCCAATGAATCTTCAGGCTTGATTTCCTTTAGGATTGACTGGTTTAATCTCCTTGCTGTTCAAGGGACTCTCAAGTGTCTTCTCCAGCACCACAGTTCCAACGCATCAATTCTTCAGTGCTCAGCCTTCTTTATGGTTGAACTCTCACATCCCTACATGATCACTGGAAAAACTGTAGCTTTGACTATACGGACCTTTGTTGGCAAAGTGATGTCTCTGCTTTTTAATACGCTGTCTAGGCTTGTCATAGGTTTTCTTCCAAGGAAAAGGGAGGGTGAAGACAGGCCATAATTCACATCCTCAGTTCTCATTGGCCACCGCCAGCTCTCATTTGCATTTGGACTCTTCACTTATCTCCCTTCGCTCACATCCTCAATAGATTCTCACACATGCACACTCACCACCACCACCCTCGGCTCCCCTTCCCGCCGCCAGGAGGTTGCTTCACAGTCTTCCTCTCTTCTAGAATTCCTCCTCAAGAATCCTGGTAGGATGGAGAAGGAAATGGCAACCCACTCCAGTATTCTTGCCTGGAAAAATCCATGGACAGAGGAGTCTGGCGGGCTGAAGTCCATGGGATTACATGACTGAGCATGTGTGCACGAGGGTGGAGGGAGATGGGTTGGTAGCAATAAACTGGTAGAACTTTAAAAAAAAAAAGAATCCTGGTAGGATTCAGAATCCCCCTCCTCCTAGAACCCGTCTCCTTAAAGCATCCTTCCCAGAATCCTTTTCCTCTTAGAGCCCCTTCCCCAGAATCTTTCACCAAAACTCCCTTCATTTTAGGGACTTCCCTGGTGGTCCAGTGGCCAAGACTCTGAGCTCCCAATGCAGGGCCCCAGTTTCTTTTTTCTTTCTTTTTTTTTAGGGCCCCAGTTTCTATCCCTGATCAAGGGATTAGATCCCACCTGCCCCAATTAAGACCTGGTGCAGTCAAATAAAGAAATTTTTTTTTAAAAAAAACTTTCTTCCTTTTAGAGTCTCCTCCTCCCAAAATCCTCTCAGAGCCCTCATCTTAGACTCCCTCTTTGCCTAAATCTCCCTCCACTCAGGGTCCCCTTACCCCTCTTTCCCCCCAAAATCTTCCTTTCCTCAGAACCCACAATGCCTAGAATACCCCTCCTTCAGAAGCGTCTCTCCCCTAATCCACTTTTCTCAGAACTGTCTCCCCCCCAACCCGTTTTCATAAAATCTTCATCCCAGGACTTCCCTGGTGGCTAAGACTCCTTGCTCCCTGCGCAGGGGGCCCAGGTTCCATCCCTGGTCTTGGAACTAGAACTCACATACCGCAACTCATGCACAAGAAGGATCAAAGATCTCCATGTAACTAAGACCTGGCACAGTCAAATAAATTATTTTAAAACAAAACAAAAAACCAAAATCTTCATCCTTCTCAGAGCCCTCTCTCAAAATCTACCTTTCCCAAGAATCCCCAGTTCTCCCACCCCCATCTGAGGAACCTCAAGATGGGGTAGCCCCTTGCTCCCCACTGCTCAGGATGCTTCCTTCCTAGCCAGGAGCTTCCTTTCAGGTGCAGGCAGCAGGCGGCTGCCTCAGTTCCTCTGGCAGCCCTGGGTCTGGGATCCAAGGTTCAAAGGGGGTGTGGTGGCTCACGGATGCCTGGCGGGCGGAAACAGAGTGGCGATTGGTGGGCGGGTCTGGGGCCAAAGGGAGAAACCTGCAGCTCAGAGTCCAGCTCCGAAAGGGTGACAGAGGAAGAGGGGCAAGGGGCCAGGGAGACAGGCAGGAAGGACCCAGAAGCTGACCTGGAGGGACCCACAGTCCTATAGACACACAGCACCAGAGAGAGAGGCGCACATGGAGGAGAAGGCAAAGACTGGGCCAACGGAGGACAGGAAAACCAAGAGAGACATCGGGTCAATCAGAGATGGAGCCAGAAGTCACAAGTGACAGAGGCAGAGAGGCCAACGCTCAGAGAAAGAAGTCAGCAGGTACAGGCAGGTATGAAGATTCCAAGACACTTGTGGCAGAAATAGGAGAAAGGACAGCAAAGACTCCCAAATAAGCACCTGCAGGATTAAAGCTAACTGGTATTTTCCAGTGGGAAGACAAACAGGCCACAGAATACACAGGCTGGACACGCTCTGGACTGCCTCTTGGGGCTGTCTGGGGACAGGGGACGCTTCTAAACTCTCCGGTCTCTCCAGGATGATCTTCATAACCTTGCTGAGTCTGGTATCTTGACTGGGGGAAAGGAAGGGAGGAGAGTTCTCTGAACCATGACCTCACTACTCTAGGGTCACCATCTCCCCCAGCCTCTGGGAGTACACTTCCAGGTATCTATGGATTGAGTAGAGATGGAAAGGCAGGGAAGGGGCATTTCCTCTCCCCCATTCCCCTGTTTTCCAACTTGCTCCTTCTCTCTGTACCTCTTGTTTCCAGGAACCCAGGCTGGAACCAGAGAAAGTTTGCGGGTGGGCAGGGTGTCCATGTGGCCTCTCTGGACCACCCTCCTGCTGGTGCTGCCCTTGCGAGGCCTAGGACCACCCCTCTGCCCGAGGGAGCCTTTCTACTTCCTCATTTCCATCACGAAGATGCTGGTGAGGAGGGAGGGAAAAGCCAGCAGATGGGGCAGGCTAGTTAAGGAGTGGGGTGGGTGGCATGTTTGCGGAAGGGTCAGTCTCTCCCTCTCCAAGATCTGATTTTCTTGCTGCTGCTGCTGCCGCTAAGTCGCTTCAGTCGTGTCCAACTCTGTGCAACCCCGTAGACGGCAGCCCACCAGGCTCCCCTGTCCCCGGGATTCTCCAGGCAAGAACACTGGAGTGGGTTGCCATTTCCTTATCCAACACATGAAAGTGAAAAGTGAAAGTGAAGTCACTCAGTCGTGTCCAACTCTTAGCGACCCCATGGACTGCAGCCTACCAGGACCCTCCGTCCATGGGATTTTCCAGGCAAGAGTACTGGAGTGGGGCGCCATTGCCTTCTCGCTGATTTCCCTCCCTACCCCACAATTACAGGGAAACAAAAATGATGGCAGTCTGTACACCCCAGATAATCTATTGGTGAGTATCATGTTCCTTCTTTACTGAGGTTGGACGTTTAGGGAAAATCCACTAGCTCAGGACACACAGGAGGCTGGGAGGCAGGCGGGCTGGTATTCTGGGTGTCCAATTCTTGATCCACCTCCAGTCTTGACAAATGTGTTTTGTTCACAGCTGTCTGTAACACCTAGTACAGTGATTGGCACATAATAGCAACAAAGGATGATAATGACTACAGCTATTATTTAAAAAACTATATTTATTTGTTTGGCTGCATTGGGTCTTAGTTGTGGCACCTGGAATCTTTCATTGTGGCACACGGGCTCAGTAGTTGCCTCTCAGCATGTGGGATCCTAGTTCTCAGACCAGGGATCAAACCCCCATCCTCTGCATAGGAAGGTGGGTATTTAACCACTGGACTGCCAGTGAAGTCCCAATAACAGCTATTCTTACATAGTTTCTTACTTGGTGCTGGGTACTGGTCTAAATGCTTTAAGTGTATTGGCCTTTTTTGGGGGGGTGGGATCTTAGTTCCCTGACCAGCGATTGAAGCCTGGGCCCGGAGCAGTGAAAGCGCAAGCATCAAGTCCTAACCCCTGGACCACCAGGGAAGTCCTAGGCATATTAGCATTACTCTTCACATTGACCCTACAAGGTAAACAGGGCTGTCATGTATGGATGTGAAGGTTGTACACTGCACAAGGCTCCCACACCTACAAGGACAGCATTCTCATTCTGGATGTATTTGTCTGTTTCCGGCAGATGGCAGTAAAGTATCTTGATCTAACAAAATCAGAACATAGAAGCGTTAAGAAGGAAAGATCTTTTTCTAACTTGCATTTCTAGTAAAGGTAGGGATTATTCAGAACTCCACTTACAGATGAGGAAACTGAGGCTTAGACTGGTGAAGGGGCTTGTCCCAGGCTACAAGTCAGAAACTGTGGGGGTGCGGACCTGGGATCAGCCCTTGCCCAGAGACACCAGATCACTCTGTCTCCACAGGTGTGTCCTGCTGAGACTCTCCAATGCTTCCAGCTGGAGCTGTCTGTGATTGGGTTTGAGGGGGGCCCATCCGTGGGGATCGCGGTGTTCCGCCTACAGCGCCTACTGGATGCCCTGGGGTCCCGGCTGTGGGTGGCTGGTCAGGGCTCTTGTCCACCCTGCGAAGGACACCCTCAGAGATCAGTCTCTCTTTTTCTGGCCAAACTCTTGGAGTTATTACAGGGGACTTGTGCTCGGGACCTGCCCTCAGCATAAACTTCAGAGGAAGTCTCCCTGATACTCCCAAAGATGTCAGGTGGGGAGGAAGAGGAGACTTGATCTCCAGTCCCAGTTCCTAAACCCTAAGCCTTCTCCTTCTAGGCCAGAAGACCTTACCTGGAGAGCCAGGAGCCAGGGGAAGAGGTAAGAAGGAAGAAAATAAGGTGAGATGTGAAGCCTGAAATCTCTGACCTACTGGGGCAGGAGGTTGGATAAATTATCCCACC